TGAGGATCTATCTATAGCAAGCTAGTTTACAATCCGATTCTCAACTTGTTTGGCTTCAAAGTTTAGGACATTGGCCTTGATTCGAAATTAATAAACATTTGTTTTTCCCGCTGGGTTATTTTATTTCTTTTTCTTTTTCCTGCTTTGTGATGATGGTGCTGTAATCTTTAAGCCAAGCAAACTTGAACTCGGGCAAATCTTGGGAAGCAAATTAACTTGAAGGTTTCAGTAGAGAAAAGTTCAACAATATTCCACGTGGGATCACGTGACATGGTATTTATCTCATATTTTGCAGCTATGATAAGAATCACTTACTCGTTTGGGACTGCTTCTCTAAGAAGCACTTCTGCTCATAAACGCTTCTAATAAAAGCGTTTTTATTATAAAGATGTTGAAATTTTCATAAAAAACTGAAATGCTTTCTTGAAAAGTATTTGGGATTGCTTCCTGAAGAAGAGCATGACAGGTGCTTCTCCAGAAAACACTTCTATGACCCAGAAGCACTTCTAGACTTTTCAGCCAAACACTGTAAAAAACGCTTTTGTATGTCAGAAAGTGCTTTTAGCCCTTTCAGAAGCACTTCCAAACAAAATTAATTAAGGTTCTTAATTATTTTTACCTTCAGGTTCAACCATTTAAATCTCTTTTTTGCAATCTTTTCCCCAAAACAGCTTTTTGCCACTGAATTCCAACTACCATCACTTGAACGAAGGGATAAATATGAAGAAGATTAATGTTAATTACAAGGTGGTATATATTATTATATCCATCGATAAGCTGACTTAATTAGAAGAAGTTGGACCCCTGCCGTCTGCGAAAGAGTCTTCCACCAATCCCATAATTACCAACTGCGGTCTTTTAATACGCTACTTTACCACATCTTAAGCCAACTATGTTTGACAGAAATGCAAAAGCCAAAAAAAGGTAACCAATGGATTTAGATTAAACAGAGAAGTGGCTTCTCGGAGATGTATTTTTGGAGTGCACATTTTCTTGGATATGACGCAAATTAGTATAAAAGGAACTCAATTTCCATTTTGGACGTCATTAAGTCTAGAGGTGTGGACACATGAAATGATGAGTTCCACTGGGTTTTATATTTATATATTTTCACGTTTTCTGTGAAGTTTCTCAGAAAGTGTTATAGAAGTTGACCAAACCCATATCAAAATCTCATTTTCTTGATGGGAATAGTTTAAATCCTTTTTTATACAAGCACTACTAAAGGAGAGAGGATTCGAACACCGAACCTCGAGTGTAGAGATAACTGTTTTTAACCACTTAAGCTATAAGCCCTATAGCAATAGTTTATATAAATTGGTTTGTCACATCAATTATACTTTCTTGATGGGAATTTATAATTGCCTTAATGCCGGGGGCACAAGGTCAAAACCACCTCAACCATGATAGATAAACATGAAAACCATTTATATAAACTAATTAGTTTAATAATTATTAATGGGAGTTTGGCAGAATGCATGGAGTCATAGACCATGGTATTGGATTAGGTGAAGGAGAAGTGGCGTCTCGGAGATGTATTTTTCCTACTGTTACTAATGGAAGACATAGAAATTTAGATCCATACATGCAATATTAATAGTAAAAGCAAAACAAAAAGGTGGTGGTTTTCTTAGTATTAGAATCTTGGATATGGCAAATTAGTCTTAAAGGAAGTGCATTTCCACATCAACTTCTTCTTTAGTGGGGAACACTGGACATCATGTATGAATATGCTAATTTTCCACTAGGTTTTTTGTATTATTTATTTATGTTCGAATATATTTTGAAATTATCGTGTGAAACTTATTTGCATATTCACAATCGTACATGCGCACATGAACAATTTCGCTAGCGCATATATCATTCTAATTCCCTTATTCTTTAGCTAATAGTCGATGCCTCAAACATATGATTCACTACTGCCTGCCACTAATTGAAGTGTCGAGACTGTACCTAGAAAAAGAAAATTGTTTCTAGACTGTAGGGTTTGATGTCTGTGGATGCATATATGCGAGGGCTTGAAAACGTACGGCTGTAGGGTTTACAATATTATACATGTGAATGTTATGAACCAAATCAAATTGGATATCTTTTAAAGTTGAAAAAACAAAAACATGGGGATTTTCTTTTCACCCTCACCTGTTTGAAGTTGGCTAAACAAAACTGATGGGAAGTTGAAAAGTTTTCAAAAAGTTGGTTCTCCATTTCAACAATTCTTTGATTTGTGGGACATCATTATATATGCTGTGTTAGTGTTTACATCAACATTTCGTGCTTAGATTTTTATATAGAAAAAGGAAACTTTTTTGGATGTCACTGAGATATTAAAAGGAAGATGTCAACATGCATATGGCTGGAAGGATTGTGTTGTTTGACGTCTACGTCTAGAGGCCTTGATTTCATGGGAACATGTACTCACCTCAACAAGCTGATTGAAGCTGCTAACCACCTGTAATAACCTAGACCACACAATTTCTTCGTGCCTATCCATATTTAATTATCTGAAAAAAGTTGTACGCAAAGGTCTTTTTAACAATAAAGTTTCATTGATCAAAGAAACCCTAAAAACACAGATTGCACAAACAAATCTAATTGCCTCCTTTCCTTTTTGCGTCGTTTTTTGTATAATTAATTTGCAAATCTCTTTTAGATCATGAGGTTCTCTTTACTTTTAAAGAAGAGTAGGTATGTGATTCGAATTCTAGCCTTGAGTGCGTGGATACATGCTCACTAGCTACCCGGTGAACCTGCCCTACAAGCACTACGAGCCCCTACAAGCCAGAAGCATGAGATCCTCATTTGATAAACAAAAAGAAAGATCAAATTGCATTCAAAGTGTCGGCATGCGTTGGAGTAGATCGACACATAGTTTGCTTGGAAACCCAATTAGTAAAGTGAATGTTCATAATTATTATGAAGTAGAATAAGGATGTGAAGTTGAGGGTCCAAACCTTTTTCTGGTGGGCTGCTTCCAATCCAAATATTGGAGGGGCCGCTATTCAATATACAGAGCATATTTTAGTGATGCTAGATATACAATATTGCAGTAAATGTAAATAGTTATTTTCTCATATGGATGTCGTGCGGATGTCATTATAAGCATAGAGAAAAGTAGAGAAAGATAATAAAAAATACATGACTTTTGCACGATAATAACGTATGAACATCCATATATATATATTTCATTATTAGTTGTTCAATCTTTAACGTACACCTTAAGTGAAATTAACCGTCCTTTTCAAACTGAACTATTTAAGGTACGAATTGGTAGGCTAGCTTGTACGTGGATCACCAAGGACCGCATAAAAAGAAAACTTCCTTACAGATGCCTGATTAACTAAAGCTAAGATTTAATTAAAGCTAAGATTGGGGAATGAGCCAGATAGAGTGACCCATTAAGCAACCCACTCCACTAGAAAATAAATAATTAAATTAATAGAGATAAAAAAGAAAACCAAGAGAACAAATAGATGAAGAAAAATTGCTAGCAGAAAAAGAGTATAGTAACTTTAGGACTCTATGTTCCCTCTCCTAAATCTTCTTTCCCCATGGACCCTGGCAAAGGAAAAAATCGGCAAGTTTGGCTTAAATAAGGGAAAAATTGATGATGCGTGTTCATATGAGGGAGAAGAAGATTAAAATAAATAAATAAATAAGCAATTATAACATTTATCATCTCAAAAATCGAAACCATAGAACTTGTTTTCAGGACATTATAGCTGCAGCCTACCTTATCACAATTTTTTTTTGAGTTAAAACCTCAAATTTGTTTTAACTCTGTCACTTTTTTGTTTGGTTTCCAATGTATAAAAAGAAAAGTTCATATTGTTAATTACTCCCTCAAACAAGGTCTTGGGTTCGAGTGATCTTAGCATCCGTGTAGTGTGTGTGAATTTAGTATATTATCATCCCTCTCAATAAAAAAAAGTCCAAAAAAAAAAAAGAATAGAATATAGCTAGCATATCTTCCCATTTTGTAGAAGACATTGGTTAAAAATTCCATTATATATGAAGACTCATTTTCCCATTTATATCTATTCATGTAAGTGTTTCTCCTTTCCCTTATCCTTACGTCCCCTAAGATGTCATACGCATATTATTAATTAGGACATAAAGCATATCCAAAATTAATGTTGTCTAGACAAGACCTAGACGGCTCCCATACAGTAACATCTAGCTACTTCTGATAATTAGAAATTAATTGAAACCAACAACATGAGCATATATACATATTTACAGAAGAAGGTAAACAAATATTAAGAGACCAACTTTTGAAACATTCTCTATTAAGGGAAATGGGACCAATTTTGTGATCAAACGGAATTTGACTAAGTGGGTCCTGCAAATTCAGGACCCAAAAAGTCTCAACTTTGAAGGGAAATTTTGACAAACTCAACAAGCTCATTTTCTTATGTTGGTTGACATCTTTTTTCCACCACATGATGAGTTTTCTGATAATTACCAATGAGTTGAAATCTACCCTTTTTGAGTTTTGATCGATATCTCATAGTACCTACTTTCTTGAGAGCTTCTATGAAAACTAAGGAAAAACCGGCCCCTAATAAACCCATGCCATTGCCCTAATTAGTACAAATATTTTCTTCTACCAAATGATTGATAAGGCACAAAGAAAAAGAAGAGAACAATTCGAAAGCATATTCTTTTGGTCTTTTTAGGAAATTGGCATAAACTAAATTACCCTTATTTTTAGTGCCCCAAAAACCCAAAAGTTCATGTTTATTAATATTTTTCTAAGAGCAAATGGCATGCACTTTTTAAACACCCAAATCACTTTTGGCATCATCAAAGTACTAGTACTTGAGCATCTGAGAAAGCACCAAGAAGCTAAAATCTTCCTCTTAAAACCCATAGGGGCAATATAGTCATTGAAAAGTTGAACCCCCATACCTCTATATTAATTGTTGAGGCACCAACCTCATTTCTTCACACTAAACAAAAGGAAAAAAAAAGCAAATAATTACCAAATAAGAAGAGAGAAAATGAGTTCTGCAAGTTCAACCACAAGCCCCATTTCATCACCAGCCAGAATCCACCACCTATGGAAATCTCCATTGCCTTACCTCTTTGGCAGCTTAGGCCTAATGCTGGTTCTGATTTCTGTTGCACTAGTCATCCTTTTTTGTTCATACCGCAAACCGTCTTCGAGTGAAGATGAAGATGAAGAGAAGCCGGCAAGACCCATGAACGCAGTGCTCGATGAAGAGAGAAAGATTGCAATTGTCATAATGGCAGGGGAAGACAAGCCCACCCACTTAGCTACAGAGATCATCATCACTTCACCAACTTGCTACTGTTCTTGCTCTTCTGAGACTGATCAGAAAGCCTAAGGGATCATCTAGCAGCTAGAACTAGAAAAAATTAAAAAGTTTTGTTCTACCCCTTACTTTGATTTGATCTTTCTTTCAATTTGTTGTTTTTTTAGTTTCGTTAGTGTTGGGGGGAATATGTAAATTGATTATGAGAGTATTTCTGAGGAAATCGTTATAACCAAGGAGCTCTTTATATTAACATGTATGCTGTTATTTTTAGCATAACTCGGTTCTGATGTATTAACCAAGGAGCTTAGTTCTTTCCTTCTTTTAATTGAGATTGAGCAGAGAAACCTTGTTTTGTCTAATGAGCATTCAACCATTTGAAAAGCTACACGTTATCCCAACAGATTTTATGTATAAAAATGCGTGAACAGAAAAAGGACCATTAGAAACTTTTCTAAAGAAAAATAGAATCTAATATTGGTTTTATATGTGTGGAGATTATATGTTTGCCTCGAGATAATTCAATTGTATAAACAGTTATGTGGAGATTTATTTATTTATGAAGGTTTAATGTTATCCTGATAATATGTCAACTATAACTATCTTCAAGGGTGATGACATCATGTGCGTCCCAACTGAACCATCGACTCTAATACCACTTATTGAGATCTACACTTACTAAATCTCATACATGTCAATAAAGATATTGTTCCCGACTTAACTATTGTATAAATAAATTTTCAAGTGCTTAATCTCATTGAAAAGCTTTGTAACCTATTTTTTTTCCTAGCACAGAATTAATGATTTGATTTTTACTGAAAATTCCTGAACTTGGACGAAAAGAGGAGCAAAGTTCATGAACTAGATCATTCTTTTAATGGAGATTGAGCAGAGAAACTTTGTTATGTCTAATGAGTATTCCATTTGAAAAGCTACACGTTATCCCAACAGATTATATATATATAATTGTGTGAACAAAACAAGGACCATTAGAAACTTTTCTGAAGAAAAATAGAATCTAATATTGGTTTGTATGTGTGGAGATTATATGTTTGTCTAGAGATAATTCAATTGTATAAACGGTTATGTGGAGATTTATTTATTTATGAAGGTTTAATATTATCCTGATAATATGTCAACTATAACCATCTTCAACGGTGATAACATCATGTGCGTTCCAACTGAACCATTGGCTCTAATACCACTTATTGAGATCTACACTTACTAAATCTCATACATGTTAATAAAGATATTGTTCTTGACTTAACTATTGTATAAATAAATTTTCAAGTGCTTAATCTCATTGAAAAGCTTTGCAACCTATTTTTTTCCTAGCACATAATGATTTGATTTTTACTTACAATTCCTGAACTTGGACCAAAAGGGGAGCAAAGTTCATGAACTAGATCATTCTTTTAATTGAGATTGAGCAGAGAAACTTTGTTATGTCTAATGAGTATTCCATTTGAAAAGCTACACGTTATCCCAACAGATTTTATATATAAAATTGTGTCAACAAAACAAGGACCATTAGAAACTTTTCTGAAGAAAAATAGAATCTAATGTTGGTTTGTATGTGTAGAGATTATATGTTTGTCTCAAGATAATTCAATTGTATAAACGGTTATGTGGAGATTTATTTATTTATGAAGGTTCAATATTATCCTGATAATATGTTAACTATAACCATCTTCAGGGGTGATAACATCATGTGCGTCCCAATTGAATCATCAGCTCTAATACCACTTATTGAGATCTACACTTACTAAATCTCATAAATGTTAATAAAGATATTGTATTCCCGACTTAACTATTGTATAAATAAATTTTCAAGTGCTAATCTCATTGAAAAGCTTTGTAACCTATTTCTTTTTCCTAGCACATAATGATTTGATTTTTACTTACAATTCCTGAACTTGGACGGAAAGAGGAGCAAAGTTCATGAACTAGATCATTCTCTTAATTGAGATTGAGCAGAGAAACTTTGTTATGTCTAATGAGTATTCCATTTGAAAAGCTACACGTTATCCCAACATATTTTATATATAAAATTGTGTGAACAAAACAAGGACCATTAGAAACTTTTCTGAAGAAAAATAGAATCTAATATTGGTTTGTATGTGTGGAGATTATATGTTTGTCTCAAGACAATTCAATTGTATAAACGGTTATATGGAGATTTATTTATTTATGAAGGTTCAATATTATCCTGATAATATGTTAACAATAACCATCTTCAGGGGTGATAACATCATGTGCGTCCCAATTGAACTAGCGGCTCTAATACCACTTATTGAGACTACATTTACTAAATCTCATACTTGTTAATAAAGATATTGTTACTGACTTAACTATTGTATAAATTTTTCAAGTGCATAATCTCATTGAAAAGCTTTGTAACCTTTTTTTTTCCTAGCACATAATGATTTGATTTTTACTTAGAATTCCTGAACTTGGACCAAAAGAGGAGCAAAGTTCATGAACTAGATCATTCTTTTAATTGAGATTGAGCAGAGAAACCTTGTTTTGTCTAATGAGTATTCAACCATTTGAAAAGCTACACGTTATCCCAACAGATTTTGTATATAAATTGTGTGAACAAAAAAGGACCATTAGAAACTTTTCTGAAGAAAACTAGAATCTAATATTGGTTTTGTATGTGGAGATATATGTTTGTCTCAAGATAATTCAATTGTGTAAGCGGTTATGTGGAGATTTATTTATTTATGAAGGTTCAATATTATCCTGATAATATGTTAACTATAGCCATTTTCAGGGGTGATAACATCATGTGCGTCCCAACTGAACCATCGGCTCTAATACCACTTACTGAGATCTACACTTACTAAATCTCATACATGTTAATAAAGATATTATTCCCGACTTAACTATTGTATAAATTTTTAAGTGCATAATCTCATTGAAAAGCTTTGTAACCTATTTTTTTTCCTACCACATAATGATTTGATTTTTACTTAGAATTCCTGAACTTAGACCAAAAGAGGAGCAAAGTTCATGAACTAGATCATTCTTTTAATTGAGATTGAGCAGAGAAACCTTGTTTTGTCTAAGAGTATTCAACCATTTGAAAAGCTACACGTTATCCCAACATATTTTATATATAAAATTGTGTGAACAAAAAAAGGACCATTTAGAAACTTTTCTAAAGAAAATTAGAATCTAATAATGGTTGGTTGTATATGTGTGGAGTTATTTGTTTTGTTTTAAGATAATTCAATTGTATATATTTTTTTTTTTTTTTTTTTTTTTTTTTTGTTCAAATTGAAATCCTGATAATATGTTAATATATAACCATCTTCAAGGGGTGATAACATTATATGTGTCCCAACGAATCGTCGGCTCTAATACCACTTATAGAGATCTACACGGACTAATAAATCTCATACATGTTAATAAAAATATTGTTCCCAACTTAACTAGTGTATAAATAAATTTTCAAGTGCATAATCTCATTGAAAAGCTTTGTAATAATTTTTTTTCCTAGCACATAATGATTTGATTTTGTACCTAGAATTCCTGAACTTGGACGAAAAGAGGAGCAAAGTTCATGAACTAGATCATTCTTTTATTAGAAAATCCAAGGAATTAAAAGGCTGATCAAAAGAGCCAAAACTAGATGTGATATTGGGAGGTGCAGGTTTGTCGATGATCCTCCTCATCTTGGTCCTATTGCCAATCCAAGTCATACATAATGCCATTGGATAACAGAGCATCTGGGCATGTGAGGAGCTTCCCCTTTCTGCTGTTTCCAAACAGTCTTTCATCAACCACTGGCTATGAGGCTATGAGCCTACGATCCTATAAAAAAAGAAGAAAAAACAAACCATGACATTGCTTTGCACTAAAAAGTTATTTTTTGTTGCTGAATAAATTTTTATGTTTAGTGGGCAGACGCGGCGGCTTGGAAAATACACAGTAGGATAAAATGATGGCTTCCACTGGGAATAATGGGGGACTTTAATTTGTGAGGCTTATTTTTCAACTACCCTTATTATATGTTTATACATACATATATATATATATATATAGATATATTCTAAGGATATTCCAGGTCAAAAACTTGGGCTTTTATTTTTTAGGGTTTAAAATGTGAAACACTGTGGCATGGACAACTCTTTGGTCATATCAAGTCCAGGCATGGTGTAGATTGTACCTTTCGCAACAGAAGCTTTTGTTTGCGGCTAGGAATGTAGATTGATCATCTTTGCATCACCTTATCTGATCAATAATTTTCTCTGTGCAGATTGCAGAACAAACTAATGGTAGGCAAATGCACCATTTGGAATGATCTGAGGGGGGCCTCACCTCAAAAGGAATGGCTAGGTCTCTCTCTCCCAATACAATTATACAAGTATGAAATAACTTCTTACATTAATTTTTTTTATTTTTTTAAAAAGGGTTTTGGTTTATTGTTGGAACATCTCCAATCATTCTTCTAAAGCCTTATTTATTAATTATATATATAGTATATAGAAAGAAATAATCAAAGAATCTTGTCTTTCTAAAGAGTTTTCAACTCCAATCATTTCTATTTATTAATTTCCAAAAGAACATATTTAAGAAATATATCAAGAAATATTTTATTTTTGATTTAGGTAATTATATTAATTATAAATATCAGATTATTATACAATATTTAGAGGCAATTATTTTTTTATCTGAAAATATTTGAAAATATATATTGTATATTCAATTTCCTTTATAAGCAAAAATAAAATGTAAATTTGCATAAATACCATATGAACTTTTAAGCATGTGTACGTTTACCACCTGGATTTTTAATTCTAACTATTAACCATATGAATTTTATAAAATGTTACAATTAATCACCTATGTCTAACTCTGTTAAAATTTCCGTTAAGTCAAGTCGTATGTGATATTTTGTGAAAGGAAATTTCGTCAATTCACTATAACTAAATAATAAAAACTAATCTAATTATCATAGGACCTCCATAATCCCTTCCAACACTGTTCTCCCCATTGCTTAGATAACTCCCCTCCCTACTCTCCATCTCTCTCTCCACCCAATTCAATGTTAACATGGTTATGCATGAGTTTCTTTTTTGAAAATTGTATTATATCCCCAGAGACTTCAATAGATTAGTACGTTATACCACACCCAAACATTATTGTACAACCAACATATCTATACCTTGAGAGAGTCGCCAAGTTGTTTATCAATGTGATAAGGATTTGATCTTATGAATAGATTTAGGGTTTAGACGTAGGTGGTAATGACTTGACTTAACGAAAATTTTAACGGAGTTAGACGTAAGTGATAAATTGCAACGCTTTATATAGTTCAGGTGATTAATAGTAAAAATTAAAAGTTCAGGTGGTAACCGCGCACATGCCTAAAAGTTCAGGTGGTTTTATGCAAATTTCTCAAAATAAGAGTAATATTTTGGGAGCTTCACTAATATACCCAAAATAGGGATTGAAATTATAAAAAAAACCCCACATGGAATGCACTTTAGAAACACACCCAAAATCCATTTACTACATAATAAATGAGTGTTGATGTTTCTATAAATTACATGACTGCCATTAATTAACTTAAATTAAGCCCAACACAAAAAACTCAAAAAAAAACCCAAAACGAGCCCAGCAAGCTCGAAATACATTGTTAATACCATATCATATAAGTACATTGATAATACCATGTCATAGAAGTATATTGTTAATACCATCTCATACAAAAAACTAAAAAAACCCAAAAAAAGGTCCAGCAAGACATTGGATATCCTTTGTAGAAACCACCTCCAATTGTTCACAGTTTCACCAGAAACAATCGCAAAGGCAAAAGGAAATACCTTTACAAAAAGAAAAAAAAAACATTGTTAATTCTATGTCATAACACTATCTTCTTATGCATATCATAAACTTCAAGTGCATAGCTATATATAGAGCAAAATATAAAGCAGGATTTGTTACTAAAATCTGTTAATAATATGCCATAAAAGTACATTGTTAATATTATGTCATAGAAGTGCACTGTTAATACTATGTCATAGAAATCATATAAGTTGCAGGGTATGAATCGTATAACAACTGTTCATACCACTTACTGGAAGTTAACAACTACGTTATTTCATTTGCATAATAGGTACGATAAAGAACCCAAATAGTACCAAACATCAAAACCAAGTTAACACTAAATAGTGTTTTACACATTAAAATCACAAAGAACCTAGATCACTGAGAATCTAAATCCAAGAATAGTAATTATCATTTTTCTTGTCTTTTATTCAATTTCTCAGTAACCAAACATTAGATAGCATACACAGATAGAGCTAAACAAGTCAACAACAATGAGAAAAACAAGCATAATGAATTCTAAATCTCTAATTCCAAATATTTTATCATTCTAAAATAGAAAATGCAATATAGCAATGACTTATATTGACTAATTAAAAATTTTACGACAAAAACTCATTCCAAAATTCTGACTACCACCAACTCTAGCATCATCGGCGCTCCAAAGAATGAAGAATCAAATTGAATCACCATATCACCATTGCCAAAATCTCAATTCAACCATACACTAAGCAAACACTGTTAATACTTTGTAATAGAAATCAACTCAATTGCAGGGTATGAACAGTATAACAATTGTTCATACCACTTACTAGAAGTTAACAAATGCTCATACCACTTACTAGAAGTTAACAAATGTTCATACCACTTATAGATAACAAATTGTATACTATAAATCAACTTATCAGCTTTGGTCATTCCAATACCACTATCAATAATAGTCAAGGTATTGTTGTTTTTGTCAGGGATGAAGAGCTCTGGCTGACCATCGAGCTTGCTTTTGTCAATTATACTCTCAAATCTAATCTTGTCAAGAGCCTACAAACAGAGCATGACATAATGAGCCAAAGGAAATTCAATTCAAACAAAAACATTATTGAAAAAACTTATTCTCTACATAGCTTTTCCACATCAATTTAGCAAGAGACAAGAACACTAAAGACTTTTTATAAAGAAATTTGAAAAGCATGCAAATAAACCTTCTAAGGAAATACCTGATAATTAATTATTTTAAATTTTGAGAATATTTGAAAATTAGAATAGAAAACACTCAATTTTAGGGTGAGCCAAACACGGAATCTGAAGGCCATGATTTTCTATGAAAGGCTTACCTTACTGACAGAAAACCATTATTCTTTCTTTCAATCAGTCCTACCGGAACTGAGCCTGTGAACTTGTTTTTCTCCAAGTTTCTGCGAAGGTCAAATCTATCACAATGCTTTCTAACAAATTAAGCATTTACAGTACTTTAGAAGCAACTATCTCCCCTCTTAAGCCACTCAAGGACAAGTGCTCAAAAGAGGAACCAAAAGCTATGACAGAATCAACAATCAGAGCAAAGGAAGAAAAAAGAAATTCTAGGTAGCAATGTAGTTGAAGGTTTGTACCTTGCACACATCTCTAGATCTACGATATGCAACATCTGGCTTTGGAAGAATCGCCGTCGTCGGCGTTGGAGAACAGGAGATCTGGGATGAAAATCGAGAACACTAAACGGATCTGGTAATTTTGGAATATGTCATCGGTGAAAATTAGCGATATGTCGGGGTTAGTGCAGGCAAAAGAGAAATCGTCTTCATCTTCGTTCTTCTCGCACTCACCACCGACGTCAGTGTTCTAAACACCTTCGTTCTCTTCCATTTCTGGCTTCTCCTTCTCTTTATCCAAAGCTGCAATTTTAGGGTCATTGAGCTTGGAGTTGAAATATACAGAGAGCTGCTTGTATTCAAATTTGTTCTTCAAATTCCTTTCATAGCTGGCGAGTTTTGGGCCTGTTTCAAAAAATTCAAACGAAAAGGTCAAAGCCGTAACATAGAAATTAAATTCAAAAATTGATAGCTGTCGATTTTTGGGTTTATTTTGGGTGTGTTTCTATGTTTTAAATAGTGTAGGGTATATTTATAGTTTCACGTCTAGGAATGGGTGTTTCACTAATTTTGTATAATATTTTCACTAAATTTCTGGACTCCAAAGTCATTGTCCATCAAATTTCATGTCCTTACAAGTCCCAACAGAATGGTTTGGCAGGTAAAGAATCGACACTTGTTTGAAACTACTCTTACTTTAATGGCAGAGGCCTCACTTCCTCAACATTTTTGGTTTCATGTTGTGGCTCATGCTACTTACCTCATTAATCGAATGCCAAGTAGAGTACTCGCAAATCACTCTCCTTATTTTAGATTGTTTCATCAACATCCAGATATTCAGCATTTACGAATTTTTGGTATAGCTGTCTATCCTTAACTTAGGCCTGCCAATCAACATAAGCTTCAACCTAGAACTACTTTATGTGTTTTCTTGGGATATTTACTGGGATATGAAGGAATTTTGCGCTTTAATATTAGCACTATAGTCAGTTACTAGTCTCTTGAGATGTGATTCATGATGACACAGTCTATCCTTTTAAAACTAGCAGTATGTTCAAGTGTGTATCTCAATCTGAGTCTTCTTCAGTATCTACTGCTCCAGTTTCTGTGCATTTTGCCTCATATTTCTCAAGAAGTTCTTCAACTTATCACACTAGTTCAGAATCATTCTCAGCCAGAGATTCAATTTCTTCTCCTAATGGTGTTTCGCCTCATCTGGTTGATTATACTCATTCTTCTATGCTACCAGTATTTACTGATAAACAATTAGAGGTGTTAATTCCTCCTATGGCTTCTACTGGTTCTACTATTCATTCTGAGGCAAGTTCTAGTTCTTCTTATAGTATATATTCAATGGATGACCCTCTATTGCTCTGTGATAATTTGTCTGCCTTAGCTCTTAGCTCCAATCCTATATACCATTCTTGGATAAAACATATGGATATCGACTTTCACTTTGTTCTCATTCTGTTTTCAGGCCCGACCTTACTGGGCCGCGTTTTCAAACGAATGAGAGTCGACAAATTTTGAGTCAAATTCGATAAGGTTAGCCCAACTCAGTCCTAAGTCAAGAAGAAGGAAACGTAAATCAATCTGACCCCAACACGTTTACGTCATAAGATTTTGTTACTTATCACATCTCAGATTTGTTGCTCACGGAAATCACTGAGGAAATCACTGGCAGCCTGCAATGGATCTTGTCTTTTAACATTGGCAGCCTACAAAATCACTGAGAAAAACGTTTAAAATTCCTTCTTCCTTTTTTTGTTTGGGGTGAAAAATATCCTACGTAAAATACATAGATCCTATTGCCAATGTGTACCATGTGAATTTCAAAGTGGTGATGTTCTTAGCATAACTTGTTAGTGGGAAACAACCCAAATCCAATTTGTGTCTTAGAGTCCAAGCTTGTGTTCAAACTATATGTCCTTTGTAATGATAATGTCTGTTTCTTCAATTTAGATTGCCGTTTACGTATACGTTCAATTTAGGGCACGTTTGAGACTGTTTATGGAATGACTAAACGCGTTTTATGAAAACTAAAGGCATCTTTGACAAAGTTTGACATAAAAACTTAAAAATGATTATGGGTCATAAAATTGTTATATGAAAAAGCACCTCTGGAGAAGTAAGAAAGAATTGAATTTTTAATAAATTTTTTGACATGTATTTCTAATAAAAGCTTTTATGAGCTTAAGTGTTTCCTACAAAAGCAATTCCCGATGTGAGTTAAACTCTTTTGTTCATTTTTCTATACAAACTGAGATTATGGTAGAAGCATAAAATCCTGTCCTGATCTACAATCCCAAAACCCTAGTTGGGTTCTCTGCATTTTATTTCCTATAGAAAGCTGACAAGTCACTGATTCAAAGGTGGGAAGGATAAGAATGAAATGAGAGAAGGATTTCTGTTCTTCTAACACAGACTCATGAACATGGGTCTCACATTCTTCTAGTTTGAGGGATGTGCTGGCATGTAATGTATTCTATAGACAAGACAGAATTTATGTAGATACTGAAAAAGGCTATTGATCTCTCATGCTTAAGTAAGAATAAAAATGTGGGTTTTAGTTTTACATTATCTAACAATTGTAAAATGAGCTCATCTGTATTCTGCACTAAAAGTCAAGATTTTCATTTGAGACACAATGACAAGTAAAAAAATAATATTTTTTTTGAACGACCAATGCACCAACCCCATTTTATACTATTTTTTTCCAACTATATTAAATGGAAGCTTCATACCCTTTTACATGAAGATTTTACGTCCTGGAAATCTACCATTTTCAACTTTGATACAATTTTAAATCCAAGAAATTTGTCCTTCTGCTTGTTTAATTAGAGTATTAATAGTCATAGTTGCATAGGTGCATGACACATTTCATTCTAGCATCTATAGGCAGGCCTTTATTCTCTCTCTCTCTCTCTCTCTCTCTCTCTCCTCTCTCCTTTTGTTATGGATCCCTTTAGAAACATTTTCAGCATAGAAGGATGCAGCAGTAGTGAATCAGGTTGGACAACATACATTGCATCTCCCATGCAAGAAGATGATGCTGAATGCAGTAATATTGAAGATGCTGATTATGACAACCATAATCGCATTACATATCACACAAAGGATAAAATTGGCAAAGATGACAACGAGAGTGATGATTCCATGGCTTCTGATGCTTCCTCTGGCCCAAGCCATCATCACCACCTTGTTTCTTCTAGAAGTAAAGACAGCAAAGCCGCAGCTGGATTCGGTTCCAAGCGCGACAACAAGGAGTCTAAGCACAAGAGCACAAGAAAACAAGAGAAGAAAAGTGGTGAAAAGAGCACCAAGAGGAAGTGAGAACTCAGTGCTAGGTCATGACACTTGAAGGTGGTGCTGCTACCAGTCCTGCTCAAAGGGAGCAAGTTATAGTTGTTAATTAAAACTATAAGCTTGCAGATGAGAAGAAAATGTATATTCTTTCTTTTATATCTACCATTTCAGACAAGGAAGCATACATATTTCATTTTTCTTTCACAGAGTTCTTGATTCCACCAATCTTTTTTAGAACTTATGCATCTCATGGGACATTCTTAGCTGTTCTAGAAGAGAACCAGCTTGGAGCTGTTCATCTACTCTTCCCAGGCCTTACAACAGTAATCAGCATAGAGAAACATCATACGAAAGCGTCAGGTTAGATTTTGTCATAATTAAGGTCAGGAGATAAGTTACTGTTACTTTGTTATGCAAGCATGAAATCATGATGTCTAGCTCAATTTCCCGAAAGAAAATACTAAATAAAATTGTTGTTTGCTTACTAGTTGGTACAACTGAGGTAGCAGTAGGTTGTGGTAAGGTGAGCAGGGAAGATAGTTCTACAAGTTTACTCGTTCCAATTTTCTCAACAATAATGTATTGTGTATGAGTGTTTGTGCCGCTGTCTCATGTGTCTATATGAACCAATAGTGTGTACATTTGCTGGAAAGAAGAAAGATCAAAAAGACACATGTGGCTATTTGCCCCCAAAAAAGAAATTACCAGTAAAGCTTCCCAATTATGATGCAGAATGTGTAAGTTATAAGCTATGAACCCAACAGGGTGTATGTTGTGCTGGAAAGAAGAAAGATAGACATACAAAGACAAATGCCAACTATGAGTAGTTCTGCCCCAGATGTGCAAGCACAACAGCAAAGCAAATACCAAATATGGGCTGTCCTTCAACTTCAAGAATATTCTAGCACATATAAAAACAGAATCTGTCATTTTTAACAAAATCTGTCTGCAGTTAGATATTGCCCCAGTTTGTAAGAATGAGAAGAATGTTGGGTGTAGTTTTGGAAAATAAAATGACCAAATGATAAATCTCAGTCCCTTCTAATAACAGAAACCAAATGATATATCAACAAAACCAAATAAATTGGTTTTTTTTAGTACAAGCGATAGTCTAAACTACAAGATATGGAGATTTCTCTTACACACACACAACCAAGATGTCATGGAGTTTCGAACTTGAGACCTCTCGTCTACAAGTCAAAGTTCTTTTTCACTCGACTAGACCCTGTTGGCAAATTCAAATACATTTAAATGGGAAAGAAGAATAGCTCTTCCTGCAATTAACATCTCTTGTGATCATAGATTATCAGGAGAAGTTAGGACACAAATTTACAAATTCTTTGGAGAAATGAGAATTGAATTTAATAGAGAAACTGAAGAACACGTCTCTTTGCCTAGCCTTTTGTCTTATTATTCATCTAGGTCAACACCAAGGATCAGATCTTAAAAAAAGTATCCCCACCAAGAGATTTTTGTGGTACTTTAGTATTTGGGAATATGGTTGGTTACAACTGAAGGCAATACGAATACAAGTTTTAACATGTGGAATATAGTTCTTTAGCTTAGTGTCAACCAGAGTAGAGCATGGGTGGAAAAATGTTCATGCTTGACAACCAATTTAGGCTTTCTGGGCCCTAAGGCACAGCTGTGGTAGGTAGCTCACCAGATTTGGTTAATTTAAAGTGAATTAGCACATGCTAGCCGCATTATTCAGATCGGGAAACGCATTTACATCCAAAAAGCAAAGTAAAAAAAGCATTCAATAATGGGAGGAAAAATTACAAAGAGGAAAAAATAAACCTGCAGAACATTGAGAAATATAAGAAAGTTTCTTCATTGATTTTCATCTTCCAACATTACAGTTTCGGAGTGCTACCCCACAGTCCTCCACAATGACTAGAATTATATCTTCCAAAAATGAAAAGGAGCTGTGGGGGGTACAGATCTGCCAAAAGTACAAGCATAACAAACCAAATCTAATGCACACTCCGTGATTTAAATAAAATTGATAAAAGAGTTGGCAGAAGCTCTGCCCAGCATAAAATCGTCAGCAGAAATTATTGGGATAAAGGAGAGTTCTGCTTAAGTAGAATGCCAAAGAAGATGGACTTAAATCTTTGACTGTTTGGCAATTTTGAACCATTCAGTATGGAAAGCACCTTCTACATCAGTTCTTTCATATGTATGAGCACCAAAGTAGTCTCGCTGAGCTTGGACCAAATTAGCCGGCAGTCTCTCCCTCCTGTAGCTGTCAAAATAAGCAAGACTAGCTGACATACCTGGGGTGCTGATGCCTGAGTTGATAGAAAGGCATACCACCCTTCTCCAGGCAGACTGCCTCTCAATGATCTCCTTCGAAAACTCTGGGTCCACAAGAAGATTTGCAAGATCAGCATTCCTATCATATGCCTGCTTAATTCTGTCCAGGAACACTGCTCGAATGATGCAGCCCCCCTTCCAAATCCTAGCCAACTCCCCCAACTTCAAGTCCCATCCCTGCTCAATACTCTTTGCACGGATAAGATTCATCCCTTGTGCATAACTGCATATCTTGGATGCATAAAGAGCTTGCCTCACATCATCGATCAACTTTGCCTTATCCACCTCTGGGGCAGTCAAGATATCACCAAAACCAGCTGATTTGAACACTTTAGCTGCTTTAACCCTCTCTTCCTTTAAACCACTGAGGAACCTTGCATCCAAAGAAGATTCAATTGTGGGAGCTGCAACTGATAGTTCAGCAGCTTGCTGAACAGTCCATTTACCAGTACCCTTCATGCCAGTCTTGTCCAAAACCTTGTCAACCAAATATCCATCTCCCTTATCATCCTTGATTCCAAATATATCTGCAGTGATTTCAATCAGGAAGCTCAGAAGCTCTCCCTTGTTCCACTCTGAGAAAACGCTTCGGAGTTCCTCATTTGACAGCTTTCCAACTGACTTCAGTACATCATAAGCCTCTGCTATCAGCTGCATATCACCATATTCAATCCCATTATGAATCATCTTAACAAAGTTACCAGACCCACCTTTGCCAATGTAAGTCACACAGGGGCCACTGTCTGGAACTTGAGCTGACACCTTAAGAAGAATGTCTTCAATGTACTTATAGGCCTCAAAGGATCCTCCAGGCATCATAGAGGGCCCATATCGAGCCCCCTCTTCACCACCTGAAACTCCCATTCCAAGGTAAAGAAGACCTAATTCAGCCATTGCTTTCGCCCTCCTCTCAGTATTCTCATACCACTCATTACCTCCATCAATAATGCTGTCACCCTTCTCCAGGTAGACGGAGAGGGTCTTTATGGTCTGGTCAACAGGTGCCCCAGCCTTGACAAGCATGATAATGACCCGAGGTTTCTGGATTGACTTAACAAAAGATTCAGGATCATGGAAGCCATAAAGGGGAAGATTTCCTTCATTTTTAGCTCGCTCAACAGTCTCATCAACTTTGGAGGTAGTCCTATTATATACTGAAATGGGGAAGCCTTTCTCTGCAATGTTGAGGGCCAAATTTTGGCCCATGACAGCCAAACCAGCAAGGCCTATTCTTGTAGGTTTCGGTGGTGCAGCCATCTTTTCCTCTGTATGACATTTGGAATTGTTACTTAGTGTCAGACGAGACAGAAAAATATGAAATACAGATCTAAGAAACCTTAGTCCGGAAAACAAAATGTCAGGATGATTTGATGAAATCCACAAACTGTGAATAGATCTTAAACATAATTTCACAGGGAATCAATATGTATCTGGATTAGTTCACTGATAAAGAGTAATCATGCATTCCTAGCTTTATATATAAGATCAACGATATTAAACATAAAACATATGAAGCTCAGATGGATTATACTAAAATAACAAATCTAAAGAACAAAGATGATACTCCAGTAACAATCCAGTAAACACTCACTTATACAGTACAATTGTTACGATCGAGTCAACAGACAAAAAAAAGGCCAAACTTTTACACTAGAGTATATCCAGTAAAGCTAACCGTTAAACGAGACCCACTTATTCTTTACTTATTGATAAAGACAAACAAGCAAATGAGAAAGACAGAATCTTCAAATTCTAGAACCCATCAACCAAAATGAGTGGACGAACTAAAAAGCATGATCTAACAAATCTGAAAAGTCCCAAAAGCCACAGATCAATGCGAAATCATATTCAGAGTTAAGATCATGAGCAAATCCATAACACAATAGTAAAACAAACATAGATCAGCAATGGGAGCAATCAAAAACAAACGCTCTGCTTGATCAGGGAAAACCAATTGAAAATTTAGAAAAGCTAGAGTCTTTAACTGCTGTAATAGAAGATAACGATTCAATTGCATTTACAACGAGTATTCAGCAACCAACCAAGTATAGCAGAGTAAGCGACTATTTTGATCAAAACCCAGAAAGCGAAAGGATACAAACCTGAAAGTTTTCTTCTCTAACGAAAGAACTGGATTGAAAATCTGAGCAAAACCAAGAAGGCGAAGATCTGGGTTAGGCAGACAACAACGATTAATAATTGTGGAAAAAAAAATATAAAACGCAAGAAGGAAAGTGTTCACCTTTTATTCCAAAAAAGGTTTCGTCTTTGAGAGAGAGTCAAGATTGGCCACTGGTTGGGTAGGTGAGGTGAGGTGGACAAGCCGTCGTCGAAGATGGGTTAGGTGAAGAATTGAAAGTCCAATTACCAATATAGGCAAGAGCAATTTCATTCGTACCGTGTATTATTATAATTTCGTTCAACATATGTCACACATTACATCATTAACCATTGTTCAATTAAGATGGGAAATTATTTTTGGGTGTAATGGTTGCACTACGAGTGTTATAACATCATGTGTGATCATATGGAAAAATTTCTCGAATTCAATACCTACATTATGGTGTGACCATACTTGAGAAAAAATATATTTTCTTTTTTAACATAATTTTGGAATTTTATAAGAAAATAAATTTATTTTATGAGATTTCTAAAATAAAGAATTTGAAATGGTTCTTGGAAATGCATCTGACCTGGGCATGGTTGGGTAGAGAGTGCTTGGTTTGTTATGACTTATGAACTTATGGCTAAAGTAAGCAGTCTGAATCTGTCAAATTACATGTACTTCAAAGTGCAAAAGAATCATTGCTACGTATACATTCCCAATCTGGCTGTTTACAATCCATGGTCGACATGAATAACAGATACAACATTAACACAAGCATAACAGACAGCTTTTCCAAATGAGAAAACAAAAAGGACATGACTTCTCACTGAGCTTCGCTCTGAGGTTGCAACTAAAGAAGGAATTCAAAACTTGTGAGAATTAGTAGATAGTGACAGACAGTAGCTGCGGCTCACCGACAAACGAACTTGGAGCAGTGAAGATGGTTTGGTTATCTATAAGCCAAAGTTGCACATCTGAACAAATTCCATATCGTTGTCCAGATAATACGTCCAGAGTTTCTTGTATTGGTTCATAGCAATGTCCAGCCAAGGTTTCATGTTTCCATTATAGTGAATAACTGCAGCATTTCTAATCTCATCCATGCTAATACTGGGATTGTACCCCAGCCCTAGGACATGCCAAGATTTGTCCAACGACTTTGTCGTTGAGTAGAACGTAATCAGCCCCGGCGGAAGAGTCCCCAACTTCCACAGAGTCCGGTCCTCATTCTGCAAAATTCATCGACAAGAAATATTCACTCATGTATGATGTATCCCGCAGTCAAACTAGTAATAGCAAAATTGTACTTCAACTATATATATGGCGCCATTGGGTACCAATTTTGAAGTGAAAATCACATATTTTGATATTTAAAGAAAAACTATGTACTTTGAAACGCTAACCCAAATGGCACTTAATCTTTCGAAACACAAGGAATTTGAGCACAAGGATAAAAAGCACTTACCAAGTTCTGCCAGTAATGGTACTGCTCTGTGCATTTCTCCTGCCTCCAAGCATCAAGATCAAAAATATTCATCCCATATGCCCAAGCACAAGCCCTGGGATTGAACCTCTCTCTAATAAGAGGGTGCGAAAAATTCAAATATTGGGCGTATCGATGGAAGGAACCAAAGCAGGTCTCAACAGCTCCATTCACCTTCCCATCCAAATCAATCTTCCATAATCCTGTCAAGTCTTTTTGAACCACGACATCATCATCCAAAAAGAGAATTTTGTGCAGTTTTGGATACATCTCGGGCAAATAAAACCGAAGGTGATTCAACATTGACAAGTACTTGGGGTTCCTATATTTCATGTTATGCGTATCTGTGGTAGCATTCTCTGCCCGATTCTCAAAGTAGAACTTCTGCAACTTTGCTGACTCAAGTTGCCTCAATACTGGCACATACGAAGAATTCAAGAAAGTAAAATCTTCTACTGCCTTCACCTCCACATATGCACCCCGTTCCACAGGCCTCATCTTAAACCAAACCTTCATCGGTGCAAGATTCATCCTATCTGTAACAACATGGAAAACATGTTTCCACGGTTCATCGGAATTATTCACCACAGATCGTATCACCACCGAGACAGCAATTACATTATCTGAAAAGATCGCATAATGGTACAAACTAGGGTCCTCAAATTCGGGGCTTGGTTCCTCTTCCTTGTACTTCTCTGGATGTGAAATTCTTTCCTCAACAAGCCTCATGGCCAAACAATGCAAGCTTTTTGGTATTGATTTTGCAGCAATCGAGCTTGCAAATGCCCCATTCTTCTTTGCTTTTATAAGCAACTCATTAACAGCAAAAATGGTATCCTTCAACTTCTGAATCTTGAGCTGATTATCATAATTCTCCTTTGACTCCGCAATCATTAACCGAGCAACTTTGACCTTATCCTTTATCTCCTTCTCAAAATGCCTCAATTCATCCTCATCCAAAGGACCGTCTGATTCAAACAACGCAGACCGGTAACTCGGTTTCATTTGGAGATCGGAGAAATTCGACGCCAAATCATCAAACATTCTCATTTGTCTAGATATCTCAAGCTTAAGCTTCCTGGCGTACGCAGCATAGGCATTCACCAGAGTAACATGATCATTCGCTTGCTTATATATCAAATCTAACCTTGTTTTCAGAGGGTCAGAATTTAAAGCTAAAAAGGTCCTACGCATGTACGCGTTTCCAGTGGTTGGAAGTGCCTGCATTAATTGAACACCAAGATTAAAGCTTGAATTATGCCTAACACTAACAGTAAAAATTGATGTGCGGCTTTTGCTTTGTTCTAAAATTTCTAAATGGGAATTTCTTTTCAAACGCTAGAAAATAATAAAATTTGGGTATTGCTTCAATCTGAGATTTGTTCAAAGGTAAAATCAGAATTTGGGTTGTGCTTAATCGGTGAAATTGACATCTGGGTTTTGCTAAAGCTTTGACATTTCAATCTGAATCTCGCTTAAGTACAAAAACAAATTAGAGAAAATGGATAGGGAAGAGGACATACAGAGTCGTGATGTGGAGTTGAAGGGTTGGTGGTGAAGAGAACAGAGAGCGTGGCAATGAAGAGCAGAGAGAACATAGCCGACACAAAGATCCGATACGAGAAGAAGCTCCGGAGGCTGAACCCACCAAACCCTGACCCTCCTCCGCCTCGGCTACCTCGCACGGCCACCGCCATTGGAGCAAAGCGACGACGTATCCAAGGACCAAGCTTGGATCAGAACGCGCTTGACCTCAAAACTAGTAGCAGAGTTTCTGCTCTCAGCTGATTGGAAAGTGAGTGATGAGAAATCTGAAGCTGATCGGAAGTGTCTGACTGTGTGTTTGCGTGTGAGATCTCTAAGCTGGGTGTGATGTGACGAGTGTGTGAGAGTGGAAGAAATCAAACTTCCAAGTTCGAAGAGATCTATAATCCGTGTCGGTGTTTGTTAAATTTCTTTAATAAAAATATAATTGTAATAAGATGTTGGAGAGTGACTGTCTGTAGGTAGTGGAACTTGGAAGGAAGTGGGACCACGCCTCCTCCATGGTCCATAGAAGATGAGAGCTCGTTGTCTCCTCCACCAAAAGTAATTTGTCTTTTTTTTTCTTACACAAAATAATTTAGACCCAATAATTCCATTTGTTCACGAACACAAAGTAACATGTAGACAAAGTAATTTAATTTTTTCATGAGTTATATATAAATAAATAAAAAAGCATAGTGAAATAATAGAGTTGATAGTTGGGTTGGGCTGAACTCAATCGATCAAGTTAATCCAACCTTAATCCGTTGGGTTGAGCTTAGGTACATATATTTTCAACTCGACAGTAATTGAAGTCTAGTTTAAGATATAAAAAATTCGATCAAAAGTTTAAGATCTAAATTGAGGGGAAACAGATGTTTTTTGGAATTGTAGCTGCTGATAGGGGGTGCCATCTTCGACATGCTTGTGTATTGAGTTCTCCTGTGCACATTCTATAGTGAGAGCCTTACATATGACTCTTAGGTGGGGTCTTATCCCTTAATTATTGGATCAAATTGGTTAGCCGTTTGATCAAATTAATTAGCCTAATCCAACGGTAAAAGATTGGACCTCACCTAAGAGCCTAATTAGGCTCTCGGTATAGAATGACTCCACACAACCAATAATTATGAAATGACATTCTAACTCGCTCGAGTTACCACCCTAATAAGAATAAGGTCCAGAAAGCTGCTAAGACAAAGCCCATTATCTTTTTTGGGAACAATGTGCCAGGCCCATGCAAATAGGTGTCAAGATCATTATACCAAAAACCCAATGAGCCGTTGAAGTTTGTAAGGGGCCTGATCCAATGGATCGTCAACCTCCCTAGTAAATAATGGTTAATTTATTTTGTCCATCCACCAAAAATAAATAAATTATTTTCTCCAATATTCACTGAAAATTAAAAGTATAAGTAACTGAAGTTTGAAATGGAAATCCGGCAAGCCGTTAAAGATAACATGCATTGCTCAAGCCTCTCTCTTCACGCTCCCGCCAAACTCCCATTGCCACCTTCTCTCAGACCTCAGAAAAGCCCCGATTTTGATTCCCTCAATAACCGTCTGATCAGCCACATCAATGTGGGTCATCTCCGCAAAGCAATCACTACCCTTGATCTCATGGCCCAGCGCGGGACTCACCCAGATCTCCCCATCTACTCCCTCCTCCTCAAGTCTTGTATCAGGTCCCGGAATTTCGACCTGGGCAGACTTGTCCACGCCCGGCTGGTTCACTCACAGCTCGATCTCGACCCGGTCGTTCTGAACTCATTGATTAGCTTGTACTCAAAATCTAGGGACTGGAAAATGGCAAATTCAATCTTCGAAAATATGGGAAATAAGAGAAATTTGGTTTCTTGGAGTGCCATCGTGTCTTGTTTTGCGAACAATGATATGGGATTGGAAGCTATTTTGACATTTCTTGATATGCTTGAAAATGGGTTTTACCCAAATGAGTATTGCTTTGCATCGGTGATTCGGGCATGTTCGAATGCCCAGAATATTCGGATTGGGAATATAATTTTTGGGTCAGTAATCAAAAGTGGGTATCTTGGTTCTGATGTGTGTGTTGGCTGCTCATTGATCGATATGTTTGCAAAGGGTAGTGGAGAGTTGGATGACGCATATAAGGTGTTTGAGACAATGCCTGAGACGGATGCTGTGACTTGGACTTTGATGATTACTAGGCTTGCACAAATGGGTTGTCCAGGAGAGGCTATTGATTTGTATGTGGATATGTTATGGAGTGGGCTCATGCCTGACCAGTTTACACTAAGTGGCGTTATATCAGCTTGTACAAAATTGGACTCATTGTCGTTAGGGCAGCAATTGCATTCATGGGTTATACGGTCTGGGTTGGCTTTGGGTCATTGTGTTGGGTGCTGTTTGGTGGACATGTATGCCAAGTGTGCGGCTGATGGATTGATGGATGATGCAAGGAAGGTATTTGATCGGATGCCAAACCATAATGTTATGTCATGGACTTCAATCATCAATGGATATGTGCAGAGTGGAGAGGGTGATGAGGAGGCAATCAAACTCTTTGTTGGAATGATGACGGGTCATGTTCCACCAAACCATTTCACGTTTTCTAGCATTTTAAAGGCTTGTGCAAATCTTTCTGATCTGCGTAAGGGTGATCAGGTTCACTCCCTGGCAGTGAAACTAGGCCTTGCATCAGTTAATTGTGTGGGAAACTCACTTATTAGCATGTATTCAAGGTCTGGCCAGGTGGAAGATGCCCGGAAAGCTTTTGATATTTTGTATGAGAAAAATTTGATATCTTATAACACAATCGTTGATGCATATGCCAAGCATTCAGACACAGAAGAAGCCTTTGGACTTTTTCATGAAATTCAGGATACAGGATTTGGGGCTAGTGCTTTCACATTTTCTAGTCTCTTGAGTGGAGCTGCAAGCATTTGTGCAGTTGGTAAGGGTGAGCAAATCCATGCCCGGATTATAAAATCAGGATTTGAGTTAAACCAAGGCATTTGTAATGCTTTGGTTTCCATGTATTCCAGGTGCGGAAACATAGATGCTGCTTTTGCAGTGTTCAAAGAGATGGAAGATTGGAATGTTATATCATGGACTTCAATGATCACAGGTTTTGCAAAGCATGGATATGCAGCTGCAGCTGTGGAAATGTTCAACAAAATGCTTGAGGCTGGATTAAAACCGAATGAGATCACGTATATTGCTGTTTTGTCAGCTTGTAGCCATGCGGGTTTGGTTGCTGAGGGATGGAAACACTTCAAGGCAATGCAGAAGAAACATGGTATCGTCCCAAGAATGGAACATTATGCATGCATGGTAGATTTATTAGGCCGCTCAGGATCCCTTGTAGAAGCCATTGGGTTTATTAACTCAATGCCTTTTACACCTGATGAACTAATCTGGCGAACATTTCTTGGAGCCTGCCGAGTACATGGTCACATAGAGCTCGGGAAACATGCTGCAAAGATGATTATTGAGCAGAACCCACATGATTCGGCAGCATATAGTTTACTGTCGAATTTGTATGCTTCCAGTGGTCTTTGGGAAGAAGTAGCCAACGTAAGAAAAGATATGAAAGAGAAGTTTTTGATCAAAGAAGCAGGTTCTAGCTGGATAGAGGTGAAAAATAAGATCCACAAGTTTCATGTTGGGGATACTTCACACCCTAAAGCACGGGAGATTTATGATGAACTGGACAAATTGGGTTCAAAGATAAAGAAAATAGGCTTTGTCCCCGATACAGATTTTGTACTTCATGATGTGGAAGAGGAGCAAAAAGAGTATTATTTGTTTCAACACAGTGAGAAAATAGCTGTGGCGTTTGGTCTTATTAGCACATCAAAATCGAAACCCATTAGAGTATTTAAGAATCTCCGTGTTTGTGGAGACTGCCACACTGCGATTAAGTATATTTCAAAAGCTACTGGGAGAGAAATAGTGGTAAGGGATTCAAATCGGTTTCATCATTTCAAGGATGGGACATGCTCTTGCAATGATTACTGGTGATGGTGTGGTATATTTCAAGCTGTAAATGATAGAATAATCTTCTAGAGGGAGATCTAAATTATTCGAGCAATCTAATTTACGGTTTCCAACATTCGGTTCATAGCCCCTGCTTTGGAAGCTCTTGGTTGCTCATTGAGAATCTTTTAAGATTTGTCTGTAGACTATACAGTTCAAATTTGCAGATTTGTATTACTATTGATGTATACACTATTTCTTGATTGATTTTAATAAAACTCCATGCAGTTTTGTCCTACATCTCACACTCATTTTGGCTACAAATGATGAATAATATAGTTCATTAAAATCTCTAGATTAAGGTGAACGGTTAAAGATGAACGGCTAAAGATGAAGAATGGTGACTTGAACAACCTATAGATCATTAAAATTTCCAGATTGAGGTGGACTGGAAGAAGAATGAGATGCATTGAGATTAAGCTGGCAGCTACTGATTATTTATTAATAAAACCAACAATTCTATATGTTGGATGGATGCATCGCCGCCGTCGCACCTATCTGTCCTAACAAGTTAATCTGCAGCTGTTCTGTTGGCGGCTGATGCTGCACACTTAGGGGCCATTTCTTTTTTTTTGGACGAAAAGGGGCCAATTCAAGCTGAAAACAAGGTGTTTCTGTAACTACTAAAATTTGAGTTTTTTTCTTCCAGAAGTTTTATAATGGACAAGTTGGATTATAAGATTGGTAAGATAAAAAGGGCTATATAGTTGGAGAGGCCCTCTCTCATTTAAAATACTCTTTCATGGTCTTTTGGTAGTTAATTTGAATGCAGTGTCTGCTGCACCGCAGGACTTCACAATTGAGGACTTGAAACAAAAGGTGGGATTGGTTCTTCAAATCAAGAAGAATATAAAAATACTGCAACCCTTTTATTTTATGCAAAACGGCTATGGAGATTTTTGTTCTCTTTACATTCATTGTATTTAGAAGTAAAATATATTTGAGAAAGAGCATCCTAGGATTTTGAGATGGAACCTTTTGATAGAGCTTTCCCCATATTCTGCTTTCTGGAAACTTTTTGCTGGAACTGAGCCTTGATTTTCTCTCTTCTGCTTTTGTCCTTTATCTTTGGCTCCTATTTGTACACCTCTCTTGGTTTCTATTTCAAATAAATTCAAGAAAATAGGAAAGTGGATAGACTGTTTGTGTGTGTAATATAATACAGTTCAATTCAGAATTATATTGCTAAACAAAAATCTTGAGGATTCACTCAAGTTTGAAATACTGTGGATTTGAGCTTGAGTTGGATTCGGGATCAATTGCGTGGCGATTATATGTTCAGTATCATCAGAAGTCTATAATGCGCATAAAATGTCTAACACCAAAAACATTTGCCATCAAAACCAACTTGAAAAGATAAGAAACAAACAATGATCACTTGAAACGTACATAAATAAAATATCAAGACTCCTGTGTTTGCAGATCTTCCTAGGCAAATAAGTCATCACAGGGAAAGAGAGAGATGGAGGCTCTGAGCAATAGCCAAAAACAAGAGAGCAAATAACAAACAGTTCTTGGATTGATATGCTAGTGGATAGCTTTTTCTAAATGTCTTTCTTTTTATAGTAATTTTAATATGACGAACCAACTCCCATTTCACCACCTTTATTTCTGTGTCATGTCCAACTCTCCCCCACCATTGCCACTCATTGCTCCACCCATTGCATTGCCACTTTTTTTTGCTCCTCCCTTTTCTCTAGTACACCTGACATAATTGCTACTTTCTACTTTCTGCAATAATCTTATTTTCTTCAAATATATATTTATCAAAGGCCTGATAAATATCTGGTTTGTCAGGGTTTTCTTGGGAATTGTTTGATGATCAAGATTTTCTTGGAAAGATTCCATGAAAAAACAAACAGTCTTTAACTTCATGCAGCTAGTTAATTAGCACGAGTTTACATGATTAGGAAACTCGTTTAACATATAGATAAGAAGAATCTATAGCTAAGAGATTTCCAATTTTATTGAGCAATGATTAATGAAAATGCTCAAAACATGTTATTGCCAATTTGCTTGGATCCTGATACATATTAAAAGTGAGGCAAGGACTGGTTGACTTCTATACAAACAGAAGATCACCATACATTGAAAATGGGAAAATTGGGAAAATGATAAAATTTATTCTCCATGAGTATTAGCCTAGTAAATCCATTGAACTTGTGATGGACTGGTTCGAGGACTCGGATCTCAGATAAGCTGTGTTGCAAGGAACATCCTCTAGGTCTCTAAGTGAAGGATGGTAAGGACTATGCAGTTGCAGATCAGTGAGCATTTGGCGAAGATCAGAAGCTTGCTCTTTGAGCTGAGCATTCTCCTGCAGAACCTTGTCATGGGACTCTGAAACATGGTTCAGCTTATCCACAAGTTGGTGATTCTCATTTCTGAGCCAAACTACTTGTGACCAGAGTTCATCCAGGTGCTTCTGCTTGCGCATACGTGATCTGCGGGCAGATTCTCTGTTAGATATCATTCTTCTCTGTTTCCTCTCATTGATGAGACTTAGCTGGTGCTCATCAGCTTCATCAGAAGTTGAGTTACTGCTGAAAGAAGATGGTTGCTGTGGATTATTAATTTCTTGAAGATGGGAGTTAGGGAATTGTATATTGTATAATGGGCTCGAAAACCGGTTGAATTGAAATGGGGTGGTGTTGCTTTGAGTGCTCATGCTAAAATGAGGAGGGTAGGGAGATGATGAACTTGAAGGAACTAGATAATGGAGCCCTGTGACCTCCCCAGGCTGCATGGCTTCTTAAAGCTTTGAGTGGATAAATTCAAGGTCTTAGTGGTGAAGGTGAGTGGAGAGTACTGAATTTGGTTGTGTTAGAAGGGGGGAGAGAGGCTCGGGGAGAGGAGGTCTTTTATAGGATGAAAAGTGTGGCAAAGTGCCCTTAAAGGCTCAGCTGATTGGAACATCATGCACATCATGTCTCTATTTTATATGCAGCATGCATCACATTCATCTATGTGTACATGAATGCATGCAAAAGGTTCATTTATGTGTTCCTTCATGCCCCATACGAGCATGAATGAATGGCTTCATGCATGTATGCATGCTATGGTGTTGTTATGTACATATATGTGTAACATGGGGGATTACAAGTAGTGTTTGTGGATAATCATTTTTCAAATCAAATCTCTGCTTACATCAGAGAGAGAGAGAGAGAGAGAGAGAGAGAGAGAGAGAGAGATCATATTATATGGGGAGTACAATTATTTTAATGGAGGAATGTTTTGGCAAAAATAATACAGTGCAGAGAAAATGGTTCAATAAGTCAATCTTAAATTTGGTGTGCCATTGTCAGGTCTCTGCGGATGGATACTTGCTATCCAATAGATCCAATAGAGCCCTTGTGACGTAAGGAATGGAAAGAAATTAAAGGATTTAGAAAGGCGAACTCTTTTATACGTACTGGCGATATTAATTAAGGAGTTTAGTGACTCATCAGGCACTTAAACCCTTTAAAATATTAATTAATCAAAACTGTACTTGAGATTAATTGGTTTGATTGATTGTTAACAACATCTGCCCTCTGAGGCATTTTTCAGGTACTAATCCGGTTTGTCTGTTTCATGGTAGAGAATGTCAAATTTCAGAACAGTTGGTTTCATGTTTGTCTCTGTGTCAAAAAGAGATGTAGAATTATGGATCTCCTACCTACTCTGATAAAATACGAAAAAAAAATACACGAATAATAATACTCGAATGAATACGTAGAGGACATATAAAGTGAGATAGACAACAATCTTCTTGTCCACTTTTGCAAGCTGAGCTACAAAGGTGTAAGAATATATTCTCCAAGAAGCAAGTGCAATATGCAACTCAATTATTAGCAATCTGTACTGTGTTAATTAATATATTGGCCAGTTGAGGACAAATTGTTCTGAGCCAAGTTAGGGTTGCCTGGTTAAATATTTAAGCATAATTAATGGTGCACTTAGGGTTAAATTATGTCATCTGTATCAGAGAACAATGAGAAAAGATTAGCTTTTGTCCTAACCATTCGAATAAGTAGAAGTTACTGGGTGGAAAACTCTTGTTGTATAGTGGTGGGAATGGATATAAGGGACTTGTATGGATGTACTTTAAATTGCAGTCTTCCACTAACTGAAAAGCTTTTAATGGATGCAGAACCAAAATCATACTGACCAGCCAAATGCTCTCCTCTCACTCTCTCTCTCTCCCCCCCACACCTGAGGGTTGGGTTGGGTTGGGTCAAGTTGAGTGGACTGATTGGTCAACAATGTCATGAGACAGGTTTAGACTGCTCTATCTTTTCCTGTCTTGCAATTGTCCTTCCTCTGTTCCATCTTTCTCTCCATTTCATTTCTTTGAGGATTGTTGGAGTATAAAGGTGGATCAGTAGTTGAAAAACCCCATAGCAGTAGTTGTACTTTGTAGTGTACATTGTATGCATAAACTGCATTTGGTTGGTCAATGTTTGTTCCTGTTATAAAGGGTTGGCTTGTAATTTGCTGATGAGAAGAATAAATACTACATCAAAATTTAATTTAAGTGATCCTGTCTAAAGGGTCAACTTAATTCCCCATCACACCTCTATGATTGAGTTTTCTACCCTTATTTCTGACCTTGAAAATTTCTCAGTCAAGGATGCCAGGAAAAAGCAGCAAATTTTAACTATAAGCATGCCAGGCAATGTGTAATGTGAACATCTAGCTTACATCCATGCGTTTCACCAATTTTGGTATAGTGAAGGTAGATGCATGTTTGAATTCTGCTTTAGAAAAGAGCAAAGGACAACTGTTTATGGGTGCTTGCGTGTGAGTTTCATAATAGGGTCTACAATAGCTTTCACACGTGCGTGAACGTGTGAGCTAATATCCCTAACAAAACTCTTTTACTTTACGTATTATAAACATATTAAGCAATGTGTATAATATGCGTATACAATCAAATTAAACGGAACTTTCCCACTTCGCGCATGTGAATTAATGTAAACCTAACAAAACTCTTTTGTTTTAAGTACTCTAAGCATACTAGGTAACGTGTGTACTCTACCTATACAACTAAATTAAGGGAATGCATCCTTAAAGAAACTTTCCGATCGACCTCAATTTTGATTGCACTTTGCCCTTCAAAGCAAAACATGAATGAAAGTGATGATAGAATCCCTTTTTTTTTTCCCCTCACTCAACTTACATATCTTATCTACTTCTCAAAATCGTTCCCCATATCTCGCCATTGTTTCCATATTACCCTTGTACTTTGTTGAAGAATCAACACATTCCAAGAAGACCGCAAGGGCATTTTGAGAATGTAATGTCCCAACTTGGGACACTTGCCCTACAATGGCGGCCAGGGTTGTGCATGGAAGGGTACTTGATTTAACTGCTGCCCTTTTCCTTTCGTACCGAACAGAAAAACAAACACTTAAGAAAAAAAAAAAAAAAAAAAAAAAAAAAAAAAAAAAAAAAAAAAAAAAAAAGAAAAAAAAAAATCAAATATATTACAAGAAACAATGATACAAGGACATGAACAAAGATAAAGACTAAAGTAGGGCAGACGAGAAAAACGCGAACGCACGATAGATGTCATACGTGGGCCCTAGCTAACAAGCGCGCGTGGGTGCTTAGTGCACCACCCCCCATCCCTATTGCTTGGCTTGTCAAACTCAAAAACAAAACAAGAAAAAAAGGCCTCTCTCTCTCTCTCTCTCTCTCTCTCTCTCTCTCTCTCTCTCTCTCTCTCTCTCTCAGAGATTTGTGTGCCTAAAATTACAGTCCATCGATCTATGTGACTCTCCATATGGGATTTTTGTGTCTAGGACCCTCTAAATTTGGTGGCTTTTTCAGGTTGCTCAACCAATCAAGGGGGGTTGCAAGTTTTTGGGCACTGTCCTTTGATACCCATATAAACCATATGTGCACCCCACTAAGGCAACCTTTGTCATTGCAAGTTTTGTTTTTGTTAAACGGTGATTGCATGATGAAGTGGCTAGCTAGGGTATAGGGTGTGGAGGGTTTCATCCAACCAGGCCAATTCATCAAATGCGGTGGCCAAATTTGTTTGCTTTTTCAACCCCTTTTCATATGTCTGCATTATAATTGTACTATAATTGCTAGCTTTGATGCATGGTGGTGGTATCCTATATGGTATTGGAGTCTAGTGGTTGTCGACATAGTATCTAAGTATTGGTTTGCAGGAACTCATGTGTTTGAAACCTTTAATCAAGATCCATGAACTCATGTGTTTGAAACCTACGCGAGTCTAATATTTTAGAGATACTCATTCACAGTTTTCCCATTCAAAATCATGTTTTTCTTGTGATACATGTCATTTAAAAATAAAATAAAAATCATGTTTTGTACTTCTTTATAGACCAATGAAAACAACTGAATCTCTCACAATAGCATCTTCCCTTTCATTTTCTTGAAATTTAATTCCTCTTAATGCATATTCATCCCAATCGTTGTTAACTATAATATGTTAATGCAGACATGAACTCAGCCAAATTGGTTAAAGCAGATGTGTTCCCCACTCTGCACTCAAGTGCGAATCCCCCTCCGTAGTTTAGATGACATTGAAATAGAATATCACATATATAAACAAATAAAATCCTATAATATGTTAATGCCTATGAAATGATTTGTTAAGAAGGGAGGAGTCAAACATTCTTCCCTTTGCATGAGTTTAATAATCTTTCGAATTTGTACACTTGTCAGATTCTTAACCCAAGAGCATGCATATTCTGTACCACCTATCCTCCCCCTTGTTTCTAATCAGATCATCAGATTTCAAGAGATTGGTTAATACGGGATAAACCCATCATGAGCATATATTAAACGCTCTTAATTATTTCTTCTTTCCAGTTCCACTTTTGTTTAAGCAATTAAACAATCTCTCTCTCTCTCTCTCTCTCTCTCTCTCTCTCTCTCTCTCTCTCTCTCGACTAGCTAGTCCATCAAATAATCTTTGTTTAACTAATACTTTAACAAGATTTGGCATCTATGGTGCAATGCATTTACTTAATTATGGGTGGTGCCTTTTCGAGTAAGACTGACTCACACGCCTAATAGCTACATGTGCTTACGTACTTGTAATAATAAAAGCTGCAGGTTTATTTTAAGCAATTGACGTTTGTTTTCGGATTAATTTAATTTGAGTGCTTAATTACCTCCTCAATATTGTTTGTTTTCTTTGCTGTTGGTTGATTCTGCTACTAATTATATGGTGATTTCGTAGTACAAATGTCTTAGATTATCCAAGCACTCTTCAACCTTTTGGATGGTGCTCAATTGCTAAGCCATAAAAAAGTAACACAAAATGCTGGTCTATTTTTTTATTTTTTTATATAATGGTTTTGGTGGCTGGTCTGATTTTGAATTTATATAATTATTGGGTATCTGTCATCAATTAGTGGTGCTTAAACATTGCGTTTTTTTTTCGTTGGATTAATTGCTTTTAAGCCCTGCCTAACTCAATTGGATGGTGAACCTAAGGTGGTGATATTGGAAATGAGGGGAAAGTTTTTTGTTTTTTGTTTTTTTAGAAAGTTAAGAAAGTAATAAAATTAAGGACACTATGTGCCTCCTTACCGATAAGAAGATACTCCACCTTCTTGCCAATCACAGTTTGGCATATGCAAAATTAATTCATAAAAAATATAAAAGAAAAACTTTTGCACACGTGTTACACTGCTATTGGCAAGAATGTAAGAGCTCTTATTTATCTGGTAAGGAGGGAAGTATTTTCCTAAAAGTAAAAGTGTTGAGTTTCTTGTAATGCTTGTCCTTATAGCTAGACTTGGCTTTATGCCTAGAAGATTCTCAAGTTCTAAATCTTTTCCTTAATAAATTAAAGCCCATCTGGATAATTTTTAGAGCCTTTAAACCTCTAGCCACAAATTCAAGGAACTTTCCTGTTTTCTTACCCTCCTCAAACATTATGTGTATAATCTTTTGCCATTGTCTCACCAAATTGTTCATAATCCATTGCTCCTTGACCAGTATTTCTTATCAATTTACAAATACCAACACACAATATGATGGCCATATCTAGCAGAAAAGAGAGGAAGAGATTGGTTTTTGGTTGTATTCTTTGAAAAAGCCAAAACTGCTTGCATAGGCATTCATAATTAAGCCATTGGATAGGGTTGCAATTTGTTGTAGGCTAATCAATACATCATCCTTGTTTTGCCTATAAATTCATGATCAACCAGATATGGTAGCACACAAATTGTAAATAAAGAGGGGAGTTGCTGGTATAGGTTTCTGAAACAACAGCATATATATAATGCATGTTTGGTGGGCTACTTGGTTGGGCCAGCAACAACAAATGGTAACTAAAAATGACCAAGAAGGCAAATCATAATGGAAAGTGAAAACCATAATAAAATCAGAACAAAGAGGCAGGCAAAAATATTGCTAGCTGCAATATTATCCTCTTACGACTTCATTTTCAAAGCCAAAATGATTGAAGTAATAATTCCAAAGTCCCCACTCCTTCAAAAATAAAATAAAAAAATCTTCTCTGAATGAGAAGGTGACCTTTAATTTGAAGAATTTTGATCCAATGGCACTCCCAAAGGCCACATAAATTGTAAAGTTTTTCTAGAGGGATTGAGTGCTCTTTTTGTCTCTGCGGGCACTACAAGAGCCACACAAGGTTATCCCCATTACTGAAAATGACTGGTTTGTTTTGTTGAGCTTCTCTTTTTGTTATGTGTTTTGATAATGATGTAACCCCAATTCAGCATAGTTCAAACAGATAGGTTTGGAAGTGAGGTGAATTAATTTATTACCCTATGGTTTAAAGGATCCATTAACTCATTTGGAGAAGCAATCAAATCCAAATTGACAGATTAACTGCTGCTATAATCTTTGAAACTATATATATTCGAAAGGAGATTTTGAGATTATACTTGAACTCAATAAACAAAACAATACAAGAATAGAGATCTTGATCATAAAGGTGAATGAATGAAGTAAACTGTTACTTTAATTCATTATTTTGAGTTAAAGTAATAGTAGTTCATGGTGTCACAAGTGACTTGGGGTGATTTGGGTGTTGAAAAGTGCATGCCATTTGCTATTAGGCAACTATATATTGATGGACAAGGACGTTAAATTTATTTTTGGATTTTTAGGGGCTGAAATATGTGATTACTATACGCTAGGTAGGGGCTAATTAGTTTATGCCAAATTCCTAAAAGACCAAAGCATATGGTTGAATTGTTCTAGGCGAGTGTAGCAATGTGTGGTATAGGGAACCTTCAATATTGGATATGGTTTATCTCCTGGGCTCTTTTGGTGGCTAGGATTATGTAATAGACTAGATTTAAGGCATGATGAATTAGAAATAAAGGAAGAAAATGGACTACTCATGAACAAAACTTATCATATCTAACCCCAACAAAATGATATCCACACCTTTTAACCATACCTTCATTTTCTCCTTCAACTTACCTTAATGGCATGTTTACTAATCCGTAATCGGATTATGTGGAATTGAATTGAGGAGAATTAGATTTTGGATTCCTATTGAAGTTGTTTACTAAATCATATGGATTGAGGAGAGTTAGATTTTGAATTCCTATTTAAGTTATTTACTATAAACCATATGGAATTGGGGTAGAGTGGTGATAATTACTATATGTCCTCATTTTTGGATTAAAGTACATGACAAATTTTAAAATTGTGTGAGGATATAATGGATAAAAAAGATAGATTCCTAATAGGTTAATTCTCCTAGAATTAGAATACCATCTCCTACCCAAGAATTGGAATTCCTCCAAAATTAGGAATTCACCCCACTTACTTTTCTTCCTTGATGTTAAGTTAACACAGGAATCCTTTATAATTGGAATTCAATTCCTGATTTCAATTCCAATTCCTAATTAATAAACATATCATAAAATAAATCTAATCCAATTCAATCCTAGGCACCAAACGAGCTCAATAATACGTATGAACAACGGAGGGGACCTAGTGGATAAGAAGGCCCCAACAAGAAAACTTATCAATGCGAAAATATTGTGGAATTCTCAACCAAAAGTCTTCTATAATATGGACTTTTCAAATACATGCATTTGCCCAAAGAAAAACCCCCAATCTTAGCATTTACTTTATTTTATTTTATCAAATAGCAAGTTTCATTAAACAAACCCCAAAAGTAAAACCAATACGTCAATTACATTGACCATGTCTTGTTGAACAAGTTCCAACTCGTTGTGGCACTCCTCTGACGGGTAAGTGTGTAGGAACTGGGGTTGGCCACGGAGGGTGCAAAATCAATGGTAAGAAGGGAGCATAACTTCGTTCCCAAATTTCTTTTGCTATTTTTGACCACGTTTTTGTACGGATGTTGCACATAACAAATATATGTGTACTTCGATAGAAATACAAAATGTCCTTATTATTTGGGTCCAAAGCACACAGCTTAATCCGATCCATGTATAATTTATCTCTTGGATCCATGGGAACCCTGTGTTTCAAAATCAAACAGTTGCTGCCTCCATTGAGCATCTGATCATCAGCTGGTTCTGGTAATTTGAAATCCCAAACTAACAGAGAACCTGTCCTCAATTCGAAGTTGAACATCCGCAGACAGCCTTGGCACACACCTAGGCACTCAATTTCCGACACATCTTCACCTAGGCCCTCAATTGCCGGCTGCTCATCAAATTCAATGAAACATTTCTTATCAATTGTTTCGTGATTATTATTCTTCGTGTCGAATGGATCAAACCCAATAAGAAAGGCACGACCACCTTTGTTTCTATGACGGCCCAACCAAAACAACATTCCCTTGTACGCAAAGCCAGTACTGGGATTGACTCTATGGAATGCAAAGTTTTTGGGGAACGAAACATACGACACTCTCCATTCACCAGTCTCGGAAGAGAAGATCTCCACGTAGTATCTGAAGGTATAGTCCTGACAAAGTGAAAATTCAGGAATTCTTACAACCCTATGTCTATATATATACTCGGCAGCATTACGCTGCTGGGTTGCTTCTTTTCTATGAAACTCAGCTTCTTCCCCATAGTAGCTATAGTAGGGAGGATCACAGATGAACCCTAGTGCCACCACTCTTTTGTGGCATTGAGGCGAGGGAGGAAGAGCCACCCATTTCTGGGTGTATGGATTGCAAATGTAGTAATCGCGTTGATAATACTCGCCTGCACAACACAAAACTAAGTCATTATACGTCTCTAATACAACTGCTTTTAGATCTTCGTGGCCAAAGTCGGGTAGTGTATCCTCGAATGGTCTCTCAATAACCAAATCAGTTAACTTGGAGGACAAGGTAGGGAGGAAACTCCTCAAAGACTGGAGTGATATCTCCGCCACTGGATCAGTAAACTTGGACCGCTCCTTCAATCCCATCTCAATGTTGTAGTTTATCAGGGTACTTACGATTGGCATATACTTATCACTTTGGAGACACAAAAAGTGGCGAATAAAGAGAGGATCGGAGATGATAGCGCACCAGCGCTTGGACACACACTTGCATCGAAAAGCAAATTTATTATGAGGAAGGCGACATAAAATATCAACCAGCACAAGGTCTGGGAGATCATCAATATTGATATTCTTCAGCTTTGACGACGATGATGATGATAATGATGATCTTTTCGATCTTTTACGGCGAGGAATATCGTCACCGTCCGGTATTTCTCCAAGAGAGATAGTGCTTCGGTCACTAACTTGCCACCATCTGGCCATGGCGGCGGATTTGGATACTGAGAGCTAACTGATCGATATTTAGGGTTTGTATTTAGATTGGTTCACCCCAAACAGCTGGCACTAGAATAAATAATAAATAAGTCTACTAATTAAGAAAGAACCCTCAACAAAAAAAACAAAAAAACAAAAAAAAATTATATTCCAAAATTGAACAAAAAAAAGTTAAGAAATTGTGAGTGTCAAGGACCATGTGTCATAATTGAACAATAACCAAGGATCCTTGTATCGTAATTTTCTATTTTCTTAGCCAAGAAGAAATCCAAGACATATTATATGAGTACTAGTAACTTTTGATGTTTGGTCACAATATAATACGCGAATTCATGACTATAATTAGAGTCTGCATATCATAAAGCCTTGTGTTACTTGTCCTTTGATAAGCGTATATTTTATATATATTTTGTACCTCTTTTACTTATTTATTTGTTGATTTCCTTGAATTAAATTGGTTGTTTTAATTTGTTTTGTGAGAATTGTGAAGGAATTGTGGAAATGGGAGAGATTGAGCTAAAATGGCAAGAGAATGAAGATTGGAGATTTAATGGGAAAGAAGCCAAATCATTCTTATCACAAAGAGTGTTGTCAAAGTTCCTAGTGCTTGATGTTTCAAGTCTTATCCAAGTCAAATAAGGAGAAATAAAGAATACCCTAGATTAGTAGGAATACTATTTTTATAATAATTATAATTATACCTTAAATAGGTAGGATTTCTAGTAATATAAATAGGAAGATTTCGGCTATTGTAAAAATAATAATGCTACACTTACCACATTTATATCCCACATTTCTATACCACATGATATGGAATACCATATCATATGCCACATCAATTAAATTAAAGAAGTGTATTTTAATAAAGAAAGTTAGAAAAAAAAATTGGAATAAATAAAAATAAAACCACCCCGCACAACCACAAGCCACCAGCCGCCACAGCCATCACCACTGGCCACTCCCCTCTCTCTCTCTCTCTCTCTCTCTCTCTCTCTCTCTCTCTCTCTCTCTCTCTCAACAAACTCACATCATCCCCCAATCTAACATTTTCCATCAAACCCAGAAATAAAGACAAATCCAACTTCAAAAAATAAAAAGGTATCTATTGGCTCAAACACATACGTTAATAAATCATAAAAGAAAAAAAAAGTGGAGAATACAAAGAGAGCTCACGCAACCTTAGAGTTCTATTTTGAGAATTCGATGTCTTCCATGTCTTCATCAATCATCATGATTCCCAATAAGTCTTTCATTAACTTTTTTTTTTACTAGGGCTACGATATAGCCTAGCTATGAATATTCAAATTCTTTGATATTGTTAATTCTATTTATCTACACATGTTGAGTGCTTGTTACCATTCTTAATGTTTTCAATTAATTGGTCACTAATTGCATGATTGGAAGAATTAGGTTGAGAACAGAAGGAGATGCGTAATAAATAGCTTCTTGTAACAAGTACTATAAATAAGACAGCCAACTCAGAAGTTAGGTTATGATTTGTGTAGTCTTTATTATTTTTCATAAAACTTAATGGGTTTTGAATCATCTAAATCCATAACTAGGAATAGAGTGAGTTGATGGTAAAGAATACAACTAATATAACTCGGAAGATATGAGGCAATGGAAAATGACTATCAACATGTTGGGTGAATTAGGATTGACAAGTTAGAAGGATTTGGGTGGCATTAGCTATGTGAAATCTATGTCCTAGTGTTTTATCATCTTTGTTTTCATCTATTACATTGTTACTTATTCTTAATTTACTTGCTTATTTAGAGTTTTGTCATCAAAATCCTTTTATTGTTTAATTCAAATATAATTGGGAATAAATAACTCTAGTACTTAATAGATTAAATTGATCCCTCTCGGAATGATATTTTACTTACTACTACATTAATTTGAGCGATATTGTCTACTTTCAATAATCACATCAAATGCAGGGGACAATATTAATTTGGCGCCATCAAAGTATTTCGATTGTTATCCTTTTTATTTTTGTTCAATAATGAACCCAAGATTTGGCTTAGGCTTAGGGTTTATTGTTATCCTTTTTTCTTTGTCTCTCACACAACCTTAATAACCAGAACAATATTATAATTCACATAATAATACAACTTTTAATTAATTAATAAAAATACAAATTTATAGTTCTATGGCTAGGAACAATCCGTGGGGGCATGTCGGGAATGTTGTGATAGTCTAGGAACTGGTGTTGGCCACCATGGGATCACTAATGGGAAGAACATAGTAAAGCTTGTACCCTTTCCATCCACCATTCTCCACCTTCTTGTGCGAGTGTCGAACATGACAATGTTGTTGGGATCCGCGCATGTGTAGAAGATATCCTCATCATTTGGGTCGAAAGCTAGCGGCATGAACAAGTTGTCAGCATTCTTATTCAGAATAATTTTTTCATCCAGTTCATAAACACGTCTGGCTTTCACACGAAACTTGCCAGCCCCGCCACCAACACCCATCACATCTTCCTCTTCTTCTTCATTGACATCCCAAAGATGTATAGCATGGTTCAGCGAATCGTAGTGGTACAACCGCAGACCCCTCCGTGCACCCTAAAGCATGCAAGTCCAGGCAACAAAGATTTTCCCAAAGAGATCTCATCAAATTTAATGAAACGACATTCAATCTTCTTCTTGTTGTTGTTGATCATGAACGGGTTTTGTTAATCAAAATGGGATGGCCTAGATTTTCCTTATTGAATTGTTAGATTCTAAGCACGGCTAAATACTTAAGAGAGGCTTATGAAATTGATCATAAATATATATAAATTTAATTTAAGAACATATTTAATTAATTTATTTATTTAAAAAGCCTATTTTACACCAACAATACCAGTTAAGTTCTACCATGATGAACAAAAATGGATCGGGCTTGACTGCCTTGCTTTTGCTCTGAGTGCTGATAAAAATAGTTTATCTTAGTCTCCTCTCTAATCAGCATGTGCCAGCTGTGAAAAGACCATTACCCTTGGACCCCTTGACAGGTCAAAGTCAGATATGGATATGGATATGAATATGAATAATAGGTTTGAGAATTAAACCAAATTATGAAATGAAGAAGCCCTATATTGTAAAAACATACGGGCTTTGAGGAAATAAATTAAACCTTTATTGGGCTTTTTTCATTTTTGGTATAAACACCTCTCTCTCCATTCACCAGTATCCAAAACCAAAGCGAAGATCCATGCGATGAATTTGTACCCAATTTGTAATGAGGAAAAACTAATCTCAACCTTCAAACTTCTAAGACCTCAAGTAACACTAACAAGCAATTTATTAAACTTAGAAACTCCACCGAATTGACCAAAGCTATAAACTGTATTCCAAGCTTCATTTCATCATTGGATATAAGACTGCCTGAAAAACACGCCTAGAAAAGAGATGCATATTTTTCTGAGAAATTGCGTGGAAATGTAAAAGAAAGTTGTCTTTGTTTTCTTTTCTGATTTCTTTCGAATTGAAGCTTGTTTGCCTAAAACTTTCACAAGGAGACCAAAACGTCCAATGATTTTGATCAGCTGAGCTAGCTAGTCTTCTATGTTCTTGTTTGCATGCATAATATTGAATTTCTCGAGCACATGTAGGATACGTGGACGGATCAAAGACTTGCTTTCTCTGGTTTCGTCAAACATCAAACACTTGCTTTTGGGTATACTGTCAAAACATATCACATCCTTCTCTTTCCTCTTTCAATCTTAGACGTGGGACTTTGTTAAAGTAAATTCAATGTGCTGCCAATATAATTGTTTTTTTTTCCCCTTAAAACAAAAAAATAGAAAATGACACCCATCGAAAGGAATCATTGCTTTTATTTTCAGATCTTTCCACGTGTTTTCTCACTCGTGATTTCACTGGAATTGCAAGTGGATAAGTGGGCTTACTATGTGCATGGATATGCTCTTCTGCAATTCATAAACCTCAAGAATTGCCCAAGGACATACCTCTTAATTGTTGGATCAAATTAATTAGTCGTTAAATCAAATTGATTTGTTTGATCTAACAATTAAGAGATCGGATCTCATCTAAGAGTCTTAGATAAGACCTTCACTATAAAATGACTCATAAACCTAATAGGGTAAAGAACGAGTCATCATTCAGAATCATTGCTTCATCCAATTCATAAACAAAATTTGCCTTTGTTAGTTTGAAAATTGTATTGTCATTTTCTAGACTCTAGCATAGGTCGAGAATTAGGGTGTGAATATCTTTTACTGGAAGTTTTGGTGCAACACATTCAATCTTGGATTTTCGAAGTGTAACTTGATCTATACGAGGAAACTGATTTCAGGTAAATCATGACATAATCATGCATTCATTATAGGATTCCTAGTTGGAGTTATTTTCACTCAAGCACTTTTATGGTAGCCTATTTTTAATAGGATTATATTTTATCTCTTGAGATTACCTTCCTTATTGGACTCTATTTTGTTTTAAAGTTAAAATATCCTTTTTATCTAAAACTTGGGAAACACGTCCTAGTTGTTTCATTGTTTTCATATTGCTATATATTGTTTCCTTTTATAAGGAGATGTGATTGGAAGGTATTTGGACAGCATGCATAAAGCTAGCGTAATTGATAGAATCAAATCTGTTTGATGCAATAATTGATCTTTTAGGCTTTAAGTAATTCCCTCTGAATAAGGAGAAGGGTCTGTATAAAGAGGGCGAGTAGAGCTTTTTCACATGTTTTGATTGATCATCTAAATTTCTCTAGAAAAGCTATGTGGCGAAAATCATCTCGTGATAGAAGTTGAGTTATGAAGAAGTCGGTAAACATTATCTAGAATTTGTCTAGGATAAGTGTGTGTGAGTACTTCTTGTAATCATCGTTCTATAGTGGATTTGTGTTGGACTGAGGAGTCTAGTGAATTTTCCCCAGATGTGTGGTTTTATCACGTAAAATATTTCTCTGCATGTTCCTTTATTTTATATTCAGCACGTTTCAGGATTGATAAGCCATATCAATCCTGCTACAGAAGTATATTTTTTGTTTATTAAGTATAATCTTAGACTGGGGACTATAATGTACGCGTTGTCATATTTTCAAGCATGCGCCCATCCAAAACGTGCCTAGTTAGTATTCTTAAGGCATGATCTTGTCCAAATTAATCTGATTGTAAAGTACCAATTAAGCACTTGTATACGACTAAGAAACAGAAAAGCATTTGCATATGGATCCACAAGAGGATGGTATTCCCATATATATACTTGGAAATAAATGCACTCATTTCAAACTTTTATTTTTGTTGACTTAAAATCACAAGTTATGGTTGATAAGAATAAGTTATCCTACGAAATTGATTGATAATTTGAACTCCAAACTAGTGCACTGCAAAACATAATTAATCATATATTTATTCAAAGGACAAAAATCAAAATTCTAGTTTAATTAAAATATATATTAAATTTTTAAAAGCTGAAAATCTTACAACGCAAAGAAAATTTAAGTTCAATTCATATTCAACTATATAACATATGCTGATTTTGTTCAAATTGATCTATTTGCCAGAAGCAATTAAATCCCTAGCAGCCATCCGCCCCACTGGGAGTGTAAGGTACTTGGCTAACAGAAGAGGAGGGAAGTGCTTCTCTGACTTGGGATGAGGTGTTGGTGTTAGCTTGGGGTAATTCAAAGGGGGAGAATTTTGAGTTGATATCTCCAGCCCAATATCGGTTGTCATATATGTTGAGTGAGGTTCCAGAAGAGCCACAGTTGATGGTGATGTCTTCTATCGAAGTGTAGATAGGTGCAGAGAGTAGGGTGGCAATTTGCAGAAACAGGGGAAGGAGGTAAAGAGGCAGAGGAGGGAGAAGGAGTTTCTTCATGGTTATTGCTTTGGAAAGGTGTTTGCTGCTAATTGGGTTCTTGTTGGGTTCTTCATGCATATAAATAAAATTAATCCCATATGAATAGTAATTGCCTCTAGGTTGCCATGGCAATGGGTGGAAAAGTAACAAAAATATTGATAGGGCAGATACTATTTACGTGAACAATAAATGTCATTGCCTCCACTTATCTTTTGTCATGGCAAATAGGTGGAAGTGTTTTAAGGGAGATGGTCCACATGTGTTTGGATTCTTATGCCGGTCTTGAATCTGAAAAAGCTTTTTGTGTCAAATGACTCTCAGCTCTCTATCCATAAAGACCACAAGTCATCCACATCCACATGACCAACATCCCCTGGAGTAGTTGACGGGGGTGGTAGACTAACTATACAGAATTTGTACAGAGATTAACTAGAGATGTGAAAGGAAAATAAACTAGGACCACAAACACTTGGCTTTATCCTCAGATTTACTGTGAGGAAAGTGCCTATGAAAGGCATTCAATGCTCCTATCAACCCATCTTCGTCATCTATGGCCTTGGCAATTTCAACAGCACGCTCTTTAACCTTTCTACCGAAAAATAGTTATGTCTTTGTTAATTTAATATATTCATGTCCATACTAGGGATTGAAATAACAAAAAATAACCCCTAGAGTTATGACTAGTATTTGCATGTTAAAATTGATCGAAAAACAATGGCAACTTCAATCAAATCAGTGCGCATGCATGTGTGATAATTTTACGCTCAATATGTAAGTGATAGAGCAAAAAGCCAATAACTTACCGGTAAGTTATAGCGTGAAAAGCCAATATTTAACCATCATGTAAGTGATGGAGTGAAAAGCCTATAACTTACCGGTAAGTTATGGCGTGAAAAGCCAATATTTAATCGTCAGGTAAATGATTGAGCGAAAAGCCTATAACTTACCGGTAAGTTATTGCGTGAAAAGCCGATATTTAATCGACATGTAAATGATGCAGTGAAAAGACTACAACTTACCGGTAAGTTATCGAGTGAAAAGCCAATACTTTACCAAACATCAAAATTAAGACAATCTGGTGCGCCTCCACTAACGAGCACGCAGTATCGAAGAAACTCTGGCGTATGCATCCCAACTAGGATTTCAAACTTAAAATAATAATTAAAAGATAAAGCTTGAAAAAACCAAGCTATAACAATACAAATAAAATGACAGGACTCGCCCCGAATTCCTCGGAATCCGTGACGGATCCTGTGGTATTTTCGACATCCAACCGATACCGGGCCCACTTACTGATTTCAAATGTCCTCTTCCCCTAAAACAAAGGAAAAGAGGGCCGAGACTTCTACCGAAATTTCGGCAGAGTCTCCCTTGAAAAACGGACTTAACCAAATTTTTCAACCTGTCAAAAACACAGTTTAAAATTTCCACACTTCAGCATGCACAGTCTACCCTCCAGGCATAGTCATAAGTAGTTGTAAGGACTCAATCCACAATCATTCATCAATCTAAAATAGGTTTCAGCCCCGACACAATCACAAACACATTATAACCACATCCCTTCAGGCTACCGACAAATTCAAAACCGAACTTAACAAATCTAATAAATAGGATTCGATCCCAATGACCAAATTAGAGTCCAAAAATATATTTTATCTCGCGGTTGCACCTGGGTGAGACCCGGGTTTTTGAAATTGGGTGGGTCAAGTAGAGGAGGAGAGGAAAAGTTTGCAAGTCGTTTCGTCGAAAACGGTGGCCGGACGAAGCCGGATTCAGCGTCGGAAAATGTTGTTGTGCAACGGGGAGAGAGAGAGAGAGAGAGAGAGTCGTGGTAGGAGAAAGAGAGAGAAAAAGAAGCTGACCTGGGTTTTAAAATTCTGACCTTGAAATATTTACAATTGTGCCACTGTGCTTCCGCTGACCGTAACTTCTTCGTTAAAACTGCGATTTGGGCCCACTACGTGTCTATGAACTCGTACCGATGAGCTCTACGCAAGTAAAAAATGACTTGTCTCCCTTTAGTTTTTTCCAACGTTCGAATGACTTTGGTTGTTTTAGTCAAACTTTGTTTTTTTTAGTTTTTTTTTTTTGTTTTTTTTTGTGGCACAGTTTTATGACAAACTGTGGTCTAGCAAACTAAGACAGAACTGTTTAGCAAATTCTTCGTCTATTACAATTATTGTTATAGCAACAACAAGATTGAGAACTTGAAGATAAATGTACATGTCACTATCACTGGTGGTTTGTTGGTTGGGGATGGTAGAGCAAAAGGAGCCTGTAAATACAATTTTGTGTACTAAAACAAAACTGCATTTTCAGCTAGTTGACACACTAACAACTTGGGGCTTAGAGACTGAATCTTTTTGCAGTCATTACAAGAGAATCTGTGGGTATTCTTTTCTTTTCTTACTGTTATAGGGTACTCAAGTCAGCCTCATTACAGAGAGAAACTGCTCCAACTTACAAATGTGGAGGAGAGGCCGTGGGATGTGTACTGAAATGGGAATAGCCAAAACACCTACTGATGGAAAATAAGCCACTTCTAGCAGGCAATGACTCGGGTTTATCCTCAGATTTACTGTGAGGAAAGTGCCTATGAAAGGCATTCAATGCTCCTATCAACCCATCTTCGTCATCTATGGCCTTGGCAATTTCAACAGCACGCTCTTTAACCTTTCTACCGAAAAATAGTTATGTCTTTGTTAATTTAATATATTCATGTCCATACTAGGGATTGAAATAACAAAAAATAACCCCTAGAGTTATGACTAGTATTTGCATGTTAAAATTGATCGAAAAACAATGGCAACTTCAATCAAATCAGTGCGCATGCATGTGTGATAATTTTACGCTCAATATGTAAGTGATAGAGCAAAAAGCCAATAACTTACCGGTAAGTTATAGCGTGAAAAGCCAATATTTAACCATCATGTAAGTGATGGAGTGAAAAGCCTATAACTTACCGGTAAGTTATGGCGTGAAAAGCCAATATTTAATCGTCAGGTAAATGATTGAGCGAAAAGCCTATAACTTACCGGTAAGTTATTGCGTGAAAAGCCGATATTTAATCGACATGTAAATGATGCAGTGAAAAGACTACAACTTACCGGTAAGTTATCGAGTGAAAAGCCAATACTTTACCAAACATCAAAATTAAGACAATCTGGTGCGCCTCCACTAACGAGCACGCAGTATCGAAGAAACTCTGGCGTATGCATCCCAACTAGGATTTCAAACTTAAAATAATAATTAAAAGATAAAGCTTGAAAAAACCAAGCTATAACAATACAAATAAAATGACAGGACTCGCCCCGAATTCCTCGGAATCCGTGACGGATCCTGTGGTATTTTCGACATCCAACCGATACCGGGCCCACTTACTGATTTCAAATGTCCTCTTCCCCTAAAACAAAGGAAAAGAGGGCCGAGACTTCTACCGAAATTTCGGCAGAGTCTCCCTTGAAAAACGGACTTAACCAAATTTTTCAACCTGTCAAAAACACAGTTTAAAATTTCCACACTTCAGCATGCACAGTCTACCCTCCAGGCATAGTCATAAGTAGTTGTAAGGACTCAATCCACAATCATTCATCAATCTAAAATAGGTTTTCAGCCCCGACACAATCACAAACACATTATAACCACATCCCTTCAGGCTACCGACAAATTCAAAACCGAACTTAACAAATCTAATAAATAGGATTCGATCCCAATGACCAAATTAGAGTCCAAAAATATATTTTATCTCGCGGTTGCACCTGGGTGAGACCCGGGTTTTTGAAATTGGGTGGGTCAAGTAGAGGAGGAGAGGAAAAGTTTGCAAGTCGTTTCGTCGAAAACGGTGGCCGGACGAAATCGGATTCAGCGTCGGAAAATGTTGTTGTGCGACGGGGAGAGAGAGAGAGAGAGAGAGAGAGAGTCGTGGTAGGAGAAAGAGAGAGAAAAAGAAGCTGACCTGGGTTTTAAAATTCTGACCTTGAAATATTTACAATTGTGCCACTGTGCTTCCGCTGACCGTAACTTCTTCGTTAAAATTGCGATTTGGGCCCACTACGTGTCTATGAACTCGTATCGATGAGTTCTACGCAAGGGAAAAAATGACTTGTCTCCTTTTAGTTTTTTCCAACCTTCGAATGTCTTTGGTTGTTTTAGTCAAACGCCCTTAGTCTTTGTTTTTTTTTCCCCCGTCAAAACTGCCTTAGTTGTTCTTTTATTATATTTGTCTTTGTTTTTTGTGTGCCACAGTTTTATGACAAACTGTGGTCTAGCGAACTAAGACAGAACTGTTTAGCAAATTCTTCGTCATTACAATTATTGTTATGGCAACAACAAGATTGAGAACTTGAAGATAAATGTACATCTCACTATCACTGGTGGTTTGTTGGTTGGGGATGGTAGAGCAAAAGGAGCCTGTAAATACAATTTTGTGTACTAAAACAAAACTACATTTTCAGCTAGTTGACACACTAACAACTTGGGGCTTAGAGACTGAATCTTTTTGCAGTCATTACAAGAGAATCTGTGAGTATTCTTTTCTTTTCTTACTGTTATAGGGTACTCAAGTCAGCCTCATTACAGAGAGAAACTGCTCCAACTTACAAATGTGGAGGAGAGGCCGTGGGATGTGTACTGAAATGGGAATAGCCAAAACACCTACTGATGGAAAATAAGCCACTTCTAGCAGGCAATGACTCGGGTTTCAAAAACCACCCAAAACACCTACTGATGGAAATATTATTCCCATTTCAGTACACATCCCATGGCAATTGATTGAAATAAAATTGATGGGGCAGAGGAATATCTTGTGAAATATTATTGTGGAACTTGGTTGTGTGTGGGAATTGGTTTCAAACCAACAATTGGGTTTCGATAGGGCAATTACCTTTGCTTTGCATGTATTTGGGAAGTGTTAAAAACCTTCGAAGTTTAGTTTAGGGATGCCAATTATTTTCCTAATAACAAATTTTGTTTTTTTTGTAATTTTTCTTGATTTTCCATGAACTGAAAAGTATAAAATGATGTTGATATAAACACCCTTCTTATTTCATTTGAACTGAACCTTATTTTCTTAATTAAAACTGGGCTTTGAATTCTCTTTAACTATTTCAGAATAATCTTGTATAGGAACCATCATCTGCGTAGAACATATATACTAATCCTGGCCATATAGCTTGAATTAACAAAAACCTAAAAAGCAGCCCCTTTGCAAACACTTGAATTAAAACAAGAAGAACCAAAATTTACATGCAAACTAAAGTTTAAGGAATGACGGAACAAGAAGAACCAACACATTTTATTTTCATCTGGAAGGTGTACGGAATCAGGAAGGCATCATTTCTTACCAAAAGACAAGTTAAACTTAAAAGAAGACCAAACTATTCGGGCAATCATTACACTTCGAAACTTCTAAGACCTCAAGTCTTAATCTCTCGAGTAAACATTTTGCTGCATAAACACTACTAAGACCTCAAGTAACACCAACAACAAGCATTTATTACACTTGGAAACTCCACCAAATTAACCAAAGCTATAAAATGTTCAAAACCAATACAAGCTTCATTTCATCATTGAACATGAGACTGCCCGAAAAACGCCTATTTACAATTTTTACACTAAGCAAACCAAGAGTATATATAGCTATATAAACATCTCACACAAATTGCTCAAACCTGACCTCTGAATCGCCTGGCTCACCACTTGTAGCCCTTTCACACTTGCTCCTTTCATAATCAGGATCATCCGTGGGCAGCTCATACCGGCAAACCGGGCATGTATTTCGAATGCCCAACCAGGGCACAATGCAGTCCTGATGGTAGTAATGGCAACAGGGTAAGCTCCTGACCTTATCCTCCGATGCAATGCTGTCTTTACAAACAGCACAGACCACTTCTTCATTCTTCAACTTCTCCCTTGTGAACTCTACAAAGGGAAGATCCTCGACAACACTTGAAGCCGCCGGAGGATACTACCTTTCATGGCATTATGCATCCATCACGAATTGCCCGAAAATTGTGTTGATGTACTCTGCAGTCTCTAAGTCAACATCTAAGTCAGCATCTCTGGAGCAATGCATGTATGCATTTACTTATTTTTGGGTGGTGCATTTTTGAGTAAGACTCACTCACACAGCTAATAAATTTTTATAATTACTGCCATTCTTAGTGATGACTGTGAATTTCAAAGAAAAATTTATATATATCCCATTACCTTGTAATTCTGGGTAAAATTCCCATAACTTTCTGATGTTTAAAGACTTGCATGTAAAAAATTTATTTGCATTCAATATTATTGGTTTCAAATACTGTTAGATTTGTAGGGGAAAACAAAGTGATTTTATTAGATTGGAGGAGAATAGTACATAGCTTGATGTAGGCTAATTGGCCTTCTACACTTAGTATATTGGCTTATTGGCCACCACACTTGATTTAGAATAGTTTGGGCTATTTGGCCCTTCACTTAGATTAGTTTGGGCTATTTGGCCCTTACACTTTGATTGGTGAGCTTATTGGCTCTCAACATAGTTTGATTTGAGTAGCTCTTGGCTCCCTTAGTTTGGGAGTTCTTTTTGTTAAGACTCCCCATATGACTTGGGTTGGGTAGCTTTTGTGCTCCCACAAAGATTGGGAGTTGATTGGCTCACTCCACTTGGCTTTATTGCATTGCATGCCTATTTATAGGCACTCTTTGCCGACTTAGCCTTTGTCCACCGACTTGGACATTTTCTGCCAACCACATGTTTGTATGCTCTAGAGATTTCTTCCACCGCCATACTCTAGCCATTCACTTATCAATTTTTCTAGAATATTCCACCATATTCATTTTGCTTTGTTGCCATGCAACTTCTTTATTGTGAGCTCTTGAATTCTCTAGATTCTTCTTGAAATCTTAAGCACAAATTTGCATTATTTTCAACAAATACAAATACATTTTTTGGGTAATTCAAAAATGTTGTCCATTATCTCCCATTTGGATCATTAATCTCAGAAAAGATCGTCTCAGATATATATTGGATGGATTCATCTGCAGCGCAACCTGGCTCGGCACTTCTAATTTCAGCGGCATTGTCATTGACGAAGAAAACCTCTTTGTTCCTTTCAATGCAGTTGCGGTGGAGCTACAATGCAACCTCAAGCGCCCTCACATCATCATTCATTGACGGCCGTTCGATCCCACTATCATTCATGCAACTCATTGCAATCTCAATAAACTGATTCAGGCACTGAATTTCAATCTTAACCCTTACGCTTGGATCAATAATTTGATCAAGTTCCCTGTCGCAATGACAATTCCGGGCCCACTCAGCCAAGTTCATTTGCTTCAGCTCCATCGTATGCATCACAGCCGGCCTTGCACACAGTACCTCACACAATACTACACCAAATGAATACACGTCCGACTTCTCAGTTAGCCGTTGACATCGGTAGTATTCCGGGTCCAAATATCCGAAACTAAATTTCACCATTGTACTAATGTGAGTCTTGGACGTGTTGGTAGCTCCCATTTTTGACAATCCAAAGTCCGATACTTTGGCCACCCACTTCTCATCCAATAAAATGTTCGTGCTCTTCACGTCACGGTGGATGATGGTGCCCTTGGCCCCGGTATGAAGGTAGCTCAACCCTCGTGCCGCGCCAATACAAATTTGAAGCCGTTGCTCCCAAGAAAGAGGCGGGTTATCGTTGTGGTAGAGATGGTCGGCGAGGGTCCCACGTGCCATGTAATCATACACCAAGATCATCTCATTATCACTGACAGGATTGTATGTATCAAGTTGGAATATCTGGTTGGAATATCTGCTGAGAAAGTAGGGAGAGTTAAAGATATGTTATGTGTGGGTGTGTGGATCTCTGGTTGGAATATATATTGCACAAGTGGGGACATACACATATGATCATCAAAGACTTTTCCAAGTCAAGCTTTTGGCGGCATCTACTCTAAATTCAAGATTCTTGATCAACATCAGTAAATTTAATAGAGACTTTGATAACAACTTAAACTTCTTTTTTGGGTTGGCCGGACTTGAAGAATTAACAAGTCTTTGGATTACAATTTGCACAAGATAATAAGAAAACAGACTTGGGACTGTAATGTACACGTCTTATTTTCAAGCAAGCGCCCATCCAAAATGTGCCTAGTTAGTATTCTTGAGGCATGATCTTGTCCAAATTAATATGTTTACAAAGTACCAATTAAGCACTTGTGTATGACAAAGAAACAGAAAAGCATTTGCATACGGATCCACAAGGATGGTGGTATTCCAATATATATACTTGGAAATAACCCCAATTGATGCACTCATTTCAAACTTTATTTTTGTTGACCTAAAATCGCAAGTTATGGTTAATAAGAATAAGTTATCCTACGAAATTGCACATAATGGTTGATAATTTGAACTCCAAACTAGTGCACAGCAAAATATAATTAATCATATATTTAATCAAAGGACAAAAATCAAAATTCTAGTTTAATAACGTTTTTTTTTTAAAGTTGAAAATCTAACTACCCTAAGAAAATTGAAGTTCAATTCATATTCAACTATATAACAAATGCTGATTTTGTTCAAATTGATCTATTTGCCAAAAGCAATTAAATCCGTAGCAGCCATCCGCCCAACTCGGGGTGTAAGGTACTTGGCTAACAGAAGAGGAGGGAAGTGCTTCTCTGACTTGGGATTAGGTGTTGGTGTTAGCTTGGGGTAATTCAAAGGGGGAGAATTTTGAGTTGATATCTCCAGCCCAATATCAGTTGTCATATATGTTGAGTGAGGTTCCAGAAGAGCCACAGTTGATGGTGATGTCTTCTATCGGAGTGTAGATAGGTGTAGAGAGTAGGGTGGCAATTTGCAGAAACAGGGGAAGGAGGTAAAGAGGCAGAGGAGGGAGAAGGAGTTTCTTCATGGTTATTGTTTTGGAAAGGTGTTTACTGCTAATTGGGTTCTTGATAATGGCAAGAGCCGTAAAAGATCAAAGGGTAATTAAGATGATGATTGAGAGGTTATGGTGGTATGTGGTGTTGTAAGTGTGTTTTGTCCTTTGTAATAGTAAAACTTTGTTTTTGTTTTGTTTTTTTTTTTTTTTTTTTTTTTTTTTTAAAAAAAATATTTAAATTATGTTCCTCAACAACATAGAATAATTCAGGCATAAGGTGTTTACTACCAAAACATATCACATCCTTTTCTTTCCTCTTTCAATCTTAGGCGTGGGACTTTGTTAAAGAAAATTCAATGGGCTGTCAATATAATTGTTTTGACAGGGGAAGGAGGTAAAGAGGCAGAGGAGGGAGAACAAGTTTCTTCATGGTTATGGTTTTGCAAAGGTGTTTGCTGCAAACTGGGTTCTTGATAATAGCAAGGGAAGAGAAAGATAAGAAGGTAATTAAGGTGTTGATTGAGAGGAGGATGATGATCAAGGGAGAAACGGGGAAGCTGCTGAAACATAACAGAGAGATTGCCCTGTTTAATTTTCAAATGGGAATTTGGAAAGTCTTCTTCTGATCAAGTGTTGTTGTATTCACATGGAGAAGAGAAAGATCAGATGCTAATTGGGTTCTTCATCCACATCCACATGACAAACATCCCATGGAGTAGTTGACAGGTGTGGTAGACTGACTATACAGAATTTGTACAGAGACGAACTAGAGATGTGAAAGGAAAATAAACCAGGACCACAAACACTACAATCGATTGAAATAAAATTGATGGGGCTGTGGAATATCTTGGCGAGATATTATTGTGGAACTTGGTTGTGTGTGGGAATTGAGTTACTTGACAGCGGAATGGCTGTCTGTCTCGTTTGATATTTTTCATGATTTCAGCGAAATGGCACAAAAGACAGACTCGTCCAAACAAGCTGCGACCCCCCTTGCATTTGCATGCTCGCTTGCTTCTTTATGTTTGAATGTTCATGATTTCACGTGCAGGATGTAGCCAGGAAATTTTTTTTTAAAGAAAGACAAAAAAACAGCAAGAACCCTCTCGCTAGGGTGGACATTTGAACCAAAAAATCCTAGTACTAGAAGCATTTGGCATGAAAATTCTCTTATGTGATGAATATTTCTAGGAGCAATTACCAGGTGATCTTTCTTCACCCTATAGCAAATGTTTAGAGTGGATCCAACTCACTCGTGATTATTAGTTCTTTCCGGTAGATTTTGGATGTAATATTAAACTATGCATGACCAGTTCCTATTTGAATTGCTCTTGTGTAAGGAATATAACTTAAACAAAAAAATATATATATAGAAAATGACACCCATCGAAAGGAATCTCCAGTCTAAAATGTTGGGCTCCCTTTCATCATGTATGGGGTTAATGTTAATGCAAAGCCAAAGAAAATGAGTTTAAACTCACAAATAATAACATAAGTCCTCACAATTTGCCTTTGCCAGCAGCAGCAGCAGCAGCTCCACCTCCACGTCGTTCATAGAAGAACATTACAGAAGAACATTTAAAATTCACCAACTTTGGATCTCCTATTTTGCTATTCCCCCAAGTCGTTCATTGCCTTCAAATTCATTGCAGCAGAGTAGAAATTGTTCTCACATACACAAAATCTAACATCGAAAAAGTGAAACCAAAATTTACATGCGAACTAAAGTTTAAGGAATGACGGAACAAGAAGAACCAACACATTTTATTTTCATCTGGAAGGTGCACGGAATCAGGAAGGCATCAGTTCTTACCAAAAGACAAGTTAAACTTAAAGGATGACCAAAGTATTCGGGCAATCAAATCCACATCCTAAATCCCAGAAACAACAAAACAAACAAAAAACCCAATATTTACAAGTTTATATCTCTCTTTATTAAATATTTTGGTGCAAAGTTCTAGACTCTAAACATACTTCTTCAAACTTCTAAGACCTCAAGTCTCAATCTCTCGAGTAAACATTTTGCTGCATAAACACTACTAAGACCTCAAGAAACTCCATGATTAATTAATGCTTTAACAAGAATTGGCATCTCTGGTGCAATGCATTTACTTAATTCTGGGGGGTCCATTTTTTATTAGGACTCACTCATACACCTAATAAATTTTTATATTTACTGCCATTCTTAGTGATGACTATGAATTTCAATATATATATATATATATATATCCCATTACCTTCTAATTACTTGGTAAAATTCCCATTACTTTCTGATGTTTAAATTAAAGACTTGCATGTAAAAAAATTTAGCACTGTCACTCCCAAGTAATTTATTTGCATTCAATATTATTGGTTTCAAATACAAATACAGTTTTTGGGTACTTCAAAAATGTTGTACATCATCTCCCATTTGTATCATTAATCTCAGAAAAGATTGTCTCAGATATACATTGGATGGATTCATCTGTAGTGCAATCTAGCTTAGCACTTCTAAGTTTGGCATCGGCACTGTCATTGACGAAGGCAACCTCATTGTTCCTTTCAATGCAGTTGCGGTGGAGCTGCAATGCAAGCTCAAGCGCACTCACAACATCATTCATTGACGGCCGTTCAATCCCACTATCATTTATGCAACTCATTGCAATCTCAACAAACTGATTCAGACTCTGAATTTCAATCTTACCCCTTATGCTTGGATCAATAATTTGATCAAGTTCCCCGTCGTGATGACAGCTCCTGACCCACTCAGCCAAGTTCATTTGTCTCAGCTCCACCGTATGCATCACTGCCGGCCTTGCACACAATACCTCACACAATACTACACCAAACGAATACACGTCCGACTTCTCAGTTAGCCATTGACGTCGGTAGTATTCCGGATCCAAATATCCGAAACTACCTTTCACCATTGTACTAATGTGAGTCTTGGACGTGTTGGTAGTGCCCATTTTGACAATCCAAAGTCCGATACTTTGGCCACCCATTTCTCATCCAGTAAAATGTTTGTGCTCTTCACGTCACGGTGGATGATGGTGCCCTTGGCACCGGTATGAAGGTAGCTCAACCCTCGTGCCACGCCAATACAAATTTGAAGCCGTTGCTCCCAAGAAAGAGGCGGGTTATCCTTGTGGTAGAGATGGTCGGCGAGGGTCCCACGTGCCATGTAATCGTACACCAAGATCATCTCATTGTCGTCTGCACAATATCCAATGAGAGACACTAAATGGCGGTGGCGGAGCTGGGAGAGCAGCTCGATTTCCGTCTTGAACTCATGGGCACCCTGTGATGACTCTGGTTTCAGCCGTTTGATAGCTACAGGGGTAGCCCCACCGTCGTCGATATAGCCTTTGTACACGTTCCCGAACCCGCCAACTCCAATGATGAAACTATCATTGAAGTTTTGGGTGGCGGATTTGATCTCAGCCAGTGGAAAGTAACGACATAAATAAGGGGGTAAAGATGACCCGCGAGTCTCTGTTGACTTGGTCGGCCCGTGGATGGAGACAAAGGACTTGGCTTTCAGTCGTCGCCTGAAAATCAGGAATCCAAAAAGGACAGCGAGCACAAGTAGGCCAAAAGCTACACCGGCAGCAATGGCAAGTATACGATTGGACTTGGTGTTGTGTTTTACTGAACTTGACGGTAGCAAATCGGTGGGTCCAACAAGATTGCCATTTGAGTCACTTAGCTTGAAGATTTCGAGCCCATTCAAGATTCCAGCATTTGGATTTGCTTGCAGTGCGAGAGAGAGGTTAACTTTCTTCCGGGTTCCACCAAGGTCGGTAGGCATGGCGACCAAATAGTCTCTGTACACTGGTCTCCCGTTTCCACCACTCCATTCAATTATGTCTGCTGCTCCTTGTTCAGCGATTAGATTGGTCATTCGAATTGTAAAAATTCGGTCTCTAACCTCGGTGATTTCAGGTTGAAACTCACAAAAATGAAGCCTAACCAAGTAAAAAAACTTGGAATCCACTGGAAATTGCCAGGTGAGATTAGTGTCCGCACCCACTGACCGACCGCTCTGGTAAACTTCTTTTGGCGCAGTGTACTTTGCAATTGTGGTAAAGTTGAGTTCAATACTAGTTTTGTTTTGCAGAACGTGGCTCAAACTTAAACTTGAAGTGTCTAAGTAACTTTGCTCCTCAACATAACTATCCCATTTGCGGTACATGCCAGTATCTTTCTTGGGAAGAAGTGAGGATCCCCCGACATTCAATCGGTAGAGCAACTCTAGAACAGTCCTGTTTTCAATGCGGTAGGTCATTTCGGTGCCAACAAAGCGAACCCCATCGCTGTGAGCTGGAGTGTAGTAAAGATTGCTGGGCATGGATAAAATATCAATGCCGTTGATAAAGGCATATGCATTTGGGCTTGCCCTGCTTGGAGTGAATGTGATGTACAAACTCTCCTCTCCCTCCTCAATGCTTACACAGAATTCTCTGTATATCGTCTCCGTCCCCGAAGCTTCGGCAGTGAAAGAAGTGTTGAAGTTGTGGAGAAGGGTAAAGTCACCAGCTTTGACGGAGAAGACTGCATTGGAGCGGTCGAAGTCTGTACCATATGAAACAGGGTTGAAATACAGACGAATGAACTTTTGGCCGGTGGTGAGTAGAAATGTATATGTAAATTCAGAGCGAGACAGCCGTGATCTGTTGTACGGCACAACTCTGCTGGCAAAGGAGGACGACGGAGGTGCGTCTCTTACGAGGGATGTGTAACTTGCAGCTTGGGGTACTTCAAAGGGTGAAAATTTTGAATTTATGTCTCCAGTCCAATATCGGCCGTCATCCTGGTTGACCAGATGGCCGGAATAGCCGCATTGAACGGTGATAGTATCGACCGGAATGTATAGAGGTGGATCGGGGTTGGGTCCCGCGAGATTGCCGTCTGAGTTGTTGAGTTTGAAGATTTCCAGACCATTCAACATTGCATCGCTGATTATAGTACCAAAACCATCTGGCTTTACCTGCAGTGCAATGATGAGATTCACTTTCTTCTTGCTTCCAGCGGAGCCTGTAGGCTGTATGAACACCAAGTAGTCTCTGTATGTTGGAATCCCATTCCCACCAGCCCACTTGATTATGTCCGCATATTTTTCAGCCTCTAGATTATCCATGTAAATTAGAAACACTTGATGTCCCATTACCATAACTTCAGGTTGAAACTCACAAAAATGAAGCCTAACTAGGTAATGAAAATTGGAATCAACAGGAAATTGCCATGTAAGGTTGTAGCTCTTGTTTATGGTTGTGTTTTTGCCCATTGCTCGAGCGGTTTGGTAAACTTGTTTTGGAGCAGAGTACTCTGGTGTTTTGGTAAAACGGAATTGAATACTAGAATTTTGTGGTAAAATGCTATGATTAAGACTTAACTCATCCAAGTACCCTCGCTCGTCTTCTGCACTGTCCCAACAGCGGTACATGCCAGTGTCTTGGCCGAAAGAGACTCCGCTTCCACCCACGTTGATTCGGTACACCATCTCCAGAGCAGAGCTGTTTTCGATACTGTAATAGTTTTCAGGGCCTACAAATTGAATCCCCTGTGTACCTTCACGTGCAGTGTAGTAAAGGTTGGTAGGCATGGACACAATTTCAATTCCGTTGATAAACGCATGCGCATCTGTGATTGCGCTGCTCGGAGTGAACGTGATGCTTATACTCTGTTCTTCTTCTTCCTCCCCAATGTTCATACAGAATTCTCTGTATACCGTCTCCTTGTCCGGCCCAGAAGCAGCAGCAGTGACTGACGCATTGAAGTCGTGGAGAAGGGTAAAACCACCGGCTTTGACAGAGAAGAGGGCTTTGGAGGGATCAAAGTCGGGGTATGAAGCTGGGTAGAAATACAGACGAATGAACTTTTGGCCGGGGGTAAGGTTAAAAAATTTGTAGGTAAATTCAGACTGAGAAAGCCTCGCTGTGATGTAAGGCACTTGTTGGACCTTGTACGAATGAGGTGCTTCTTTGACTATGGATGTGTTGCCAACTGCTTGGGGTTCAAGGGGTGAAAATTTTGAGTTGATATCTCCACTCCAACTTCGGTTATCATATGCATTGAATATGTTGCCGGAAGAGCCACAATTGACGGTGATATCTTCGACTGGCTTATAGATAGGTGGCGAATCTCCGACGACGAATATGGTGACAACGATCATGTGCAGAAACAAGGAAGAGTAGAGATGAGTGCTGAGAATTGGTTTCATCATGGTAATTGTATCAAGGTGTTTGTTTGATCTTGGGTTATTATATGCATGTTCATGATACATATATATAATTATATATATATACACACACACATAGGGAGAGTTAAAGATATGATATGTGTGGGTGTGTGGATCTCTGATTGGAATTTCAATTGCACAAGTGGGGACATCACTGTACACATATGATCATCAAAGACTTTTCCAAGTCAAGCCTTTGGCTGCATCTACTCTAAATTCAAGATTCTTGATCAACATTAGTCAAATTTAATAGAGACTTTGATAACAACTTGAACTTCTTTTTTTGGGTTGGCCGTGGACTTGAAGAATTAACGTCTTTACAATTTGCACAAGATAATAAGCTAACAGATTGGGGACTGTAATGTACACGTTGTCTTATTTTCAAGCATGCGCCCATCCAAAATGTGCCTAGTTAGTATTCTTGAGGCATGATCTTGTCCAAATTAATCTGATTGCAAAGTACCAAACAAGCACTTGTATACGACTTAGAAACAGAAAAGCATTTGCATACGGATCCACAAGAGGATGGTATTCCCATATATATACTTGGAAATAATGCACTCATTTCAAACTTTTATTTTTGTTGACTTAAAATCATAAGTTAGGTCGATAAGAATAGTTATCCTACGAAATTGCACATAATGATTGATAATTTGAACTCCAAACTAGTGCACTGCAAAATATAATTAATCATATATTTATTCAAAGGACAAAAATCAAAATTCTAGTTTAATTAAAATATATACATTTTTTTTTTAAAGCTGAAAATCTAACAACCCAAAGAAAATTTAAGTTCAATTCATATTCAACTATATAACAGATGCTGATTTTTTTCAAATTGATCTATTTGCCAGAAGCAGTTAAATCCCTAGCAGCCATCCGCCCCACTCGGGGTGTATGGTACTTGGCTAACAGAAGAGGAGGGATGTGCTTCTCTGACTTGGGATTATGTGTTGGTGTTAGCTTGGGGTAATTCAAAGGGGGAGAATTTTGAGTTGATATCTCCAGCCCAATATCGGTTGTCATATATGTTGAGTGAGGTTCCAGAAGAGCCACAGTTGATGGTGATGTCTTCTATCGGAGTGTAGATAGGTGCAGAGAGGCGATTTGCAGAAACAGGGGAAGGAGGTAAGGAGGCAGAGGAGGGAGAAGGAGTTTCTTCATGGTTATTGTTTTGGAAAGGTGTTTGCTGCTAATTGGGTTCTTGATAATAGCAAGAGAAGAGAAAGATCAGATACTAATTGGGTTCTTCATGCATATAAATAAAATTAATCTCATATGAATAGTAATTGCCCTTAGGTTGCTATGGCAATGAGTGGAAAAGCAACAAAAATATTGCTATGGCCGATACTATTTACGTGAACAGTAAATGTTTGCCTCCACTTATCTTTTGCCATGGCAAATTGGTGAAAGTGCTCAAAGAGAGATGGTCCATGTGTGCTTGGATTCTTACGCCGGTCTCGAATCTAAAAAATCTTTTTATGTCAAGTGACTCTCAGCTCTCTATCCATGAAGACCACAAGTCATCCACATCCACATCCACATGACCAACATCCCCTGGAGTAGTTGACGGGGGTGGTAGACTAACTATACATAATTTGTACAAAGATTAGCTAGAGATGTGAAAGGAAAATAAACTAGAACCACAAACACTACAATCGATTGAAATAAAATTGATGGGCCAGAGAACTATCTTGGCGATATATTATTGTGGAACTTGGTTGTGTGTGGGAATTGAGTTACTTGACAGCGGAATGGCTGTCTCGTTTGATATTTTCCATGATTTCAGCGAAATGGCACAAAAGACTTTTAGTTTTAGACTCATCCAAAGAAGCTGCGTCCTCCTCGCATTTGCATGCTCGCTTGCTTCTTCAAGTTTGAATGTTTCATGATTTCAGGATGTAGCCAGGAAAAAAAGTTAAAGAAAGACAAAAAAACAAACAGCATGAACCCTCTTACTGGTGGTGGACATTTGAACCGAAAAATCTGTTACTAGGGGCATTTGGCATGAAAATTCTCTTATGTAATGAATATTTCTAGGAGCAATTACCAGGTGATCTTTCTTCACCCTATAGCAAATGTTTACAGTGGATACAACTCATTCCTGATTAGTTCTTTCCACGAGATTTTGGATGTAATATTCAACTATCCATGACCAGTTCCTATTTGCGTTGTTCTTATGCAAGGAATGTAACTTAACTCGAGTTTTATCTCAAAAGGTAATTGTGAAATTAAGGAGAACTCCCCCTTATCCTTTTATGCACAACTTATTCTCCAATATAGAGCAATTGTATTTGATTCACACTTCCTAACAAAGTTGCAATTTATTAAAATTTTACAATACTAAATCTTCTAGAATGATCATGGGACAAACAGCTACAATAACCCGACTAAATTTTTCATTCAATTAATTTGGTTCAGATACAACTGATATGAAACATTGATATGCAACATATTTACTATTTTTCATTTTGCTAATAGAATCTCCAATACTCCTCACTCTGAAAAAAGATAGCCAAACCAATCAGTCAGCAAAGAATACGAATAGAATTTTTATTCTCTTTAACTATTTCAGAATAATCTTGTATAGGAACCATCATCTGCGTAGAACATATATACTAATCCTGGCCCTATCGCTTGAATTAACAAAAACCTAAAAAGCAGCCCCTTTGCAACACTTGAATTAAAACAAGAAGCACCAAAATTTACATGCAAACTAAAGTTTAAGGAATGACGGAACAAGAAGAACCAACACATTTTATTTTCATCTGGAAGGTTCCCTTGTTCTAGAATTTATATTGTACGGCTGGCATGGGTGGTACTCTTTCCTACCCCGGAGTTTTATCCCATGTGGTTTTCCTCGGGAAGGTTTTAACGAGGCCACCTTAACATGCCCTTTTGTACACAATTTTACAGTTGAATGGAATGCAACCCATCGCTTTTCCCCTCAAAAAAAAAAATGTTGTCCATTATCTCCCATTTGGATCATTAATCTCAGAAAAGATCGTCTCAGATATACATTGGATGGATTCATCTGTAGCGCAACCTGGCGTAGCACTTCTAAGTTCGGCATCGGCACTGTCATTGACGAAGGCAACCTCATTGTTCCTTTCAATGCAGTTGCGGTGGAGCTGCAATGCAAGCTCAAGCGCCCTCACAACATCATTCATTGACGGCCGGTCGATCCCATTATCATTCATGCAACTCATTGCAATCTCAACAAACTGATTCAGACACTGAATTTCAATCTTACCCCTTATGCTTGGATCAATAATTTGATCAAGTTCCCCGTCGCGATGACAGCTCCTGACCCACTCAGCCAAGTTCATTTGTCTCAGCTCCACCGTATGCATCACAGCCGGCCTTGCACATAGTACCTCACACAATACTACACCAAACGAATACACGTCCGACTTCTCAGTTAGCCGTTGACGTCGGTAGTATTCCGGGTCCAAATATCCGAAACTACCTTTCACCATTGTACTAATGTGAGTCTTGGACGTGTCGGTGGTGCCCATTTTTGACAATCCAAAGTCCGATACTTTGGCCACCCACTTCTCATCCAATAAAATGTTCGTGCTCTTCACGTCGCGGTGGATGATGGTGCCCTTGGCCCCGGTATGAAGGTAGCTCAACCCTCGTGCCGCGCCAATACAAATTTGAAGTCGTTGCTCCCAAGAAAGAGGCGGGTTACCATTGTGGTACAGACGGTCGGCGAGGGTCCCACTTGCCATGTAATCGTACACCAAGATCATCTCATTGTCGTCTGTACAATATCCAATGAGAGACACTAAATGGCGGTGGCGGAGCTGGGAGAGCAGCTCGATTTCCGTCTTGAACTCATGGGCACCCTGTGATGACTCGGGTTTTAGCCGTTTGATAGCTACAGGTGTAGCCCCACCATCGTCGATATAGCCTTTGTACACGTTCCCAAACCCGCCAACTCCAATGATGAAACTATCATTGAAGTTTTGTGTGGCGGCTTTGATCTCAACCAGTGGAAAGTAACGACATAAATAAGGGGGTAAAGATGACCCGAGAGTCTCTATTGACTTGGTCGGCCCGTGGATGGAGACAAAGGACTTGGCTTTCAGTCGTCGCCTGAAAATCAGGAATCCAAAAAGGACAGAGAGCACAAGTAGGCCGGAAGCTACACCGGCAGCAATGGCGAGTATACGATTGGACTTGGTGTTGTGTTTTACTGAACTTGACGGCGTCAAATCGGTGGGTCCAGCAAGATTGCCATTTGAGTCACTTAGCTTGAAGATTTCGAGCCCATTCAAGATTCCAGCATTTGGATTTGCTTGCAATGCGAGAGAGAGGTTAACTTTGCTCGGGGTTCCACCAGCGGCGGTAGACATGGATACCAAATAGTCTCTGTACACTGGTCTCTCCTTTCCACCACTCCAGTCAATTACGTCGGCTCCTTGTTCTGCGGTTAGATTGGCTATTTGGATGGTAAAAATTCGGTCTCTAACCTTGGTGATTTCAGGCTGAAACTCACAAAAATGAAGCCTAACCAGGTATGAAAACTCGGAATCTACAGGAAATTGCCAGATGAGATTAAAGCTCTTGTTTATGTTGGCGTCCTCACCCATTGACCGACCGGTTTGGTAAACTTCTTTTGGCGCAGTGTACTTTGCAATTGTGTTAAAGTTGAGTTCTATACTAGTATTTTGTTGCAGAACGTGGCTCAAACTTAAACTTGAAGTGCTCAAGTAACTTTTCTCCTCATCATAACTATCCCATTTGCGGTACATGCCAGTATCTTTCTTGGGAAGTAGTAAGGCTCCCCCGACATTCAATCGGTAGAGCATCTTTAGAACAGTCGTGTTTTCAATGCGGACGTTGATTTGGTTGCCAACAAAGGCAATCCCATCGCTGTGCGCTGGAGTGTAGTAAAGATTGCTGGGCATGGATACAATTTCAATGCCGTTGATAAAGGCATGCGCATCTGGGCTTGCCCGGCTTGGAATGAATGTGATGTTCAAACTCTCTTCTCCCTCCTCAATGCTTACACAGAATTCTCTGTATATTGTCTCCATCCCAGAAGCATCGGCAATGAAAGAAGTGTTGAAGTTGTGGAGAAGGGTAAAGCCACCAGCTTTGACGGAGAAGACTGCATTGGAGCGGTCGAAGTCAACACCGTATGAAACAGGGTTGAAATACAGACGAATGAACTTTTGGCCGGTGGTGAGTGGAAATGTGTATGTAAATTCAGAGCGAGACAGCCGTGATCTGTTGTACGGCACAGCTCCGCTGGCAAAGGAGGACGACGGAGGTGCGTCTCTTACGAGGGATGTGTAACTTGCAGCTTGGTGTACTTCAACGGGTAAAAATTCTGAATTTATGTCTCCAGTCCAATTTCGGCCGTCATCCTGATTGACCAGCTGGCCGGAATAGCCACATTGAACGGTGATAGCATCGACCGGAATGTATGGAGGTGGGTCGGGGTTTGGTCCGGCAAGATTTCCATTTGTATCACTGAGTTTGAAGAGTTCAAGGCCGTTCAAGAGTGCAGCATTGTATGCAGTCATCCAATCTCTTGGGTTTGCTTGCAGTGCAAGATAGAGCTTAACTTTCTTTTGATCAGGGCCTGCAGGCATGAACACGATGTAGTCCCTGTAGATTGGTCTCCCATTTCCACCACTCCACATGATTATGTCGGCTTGTGGCTCAGCAAGTTGGTTATCCACATAGATTAGAAACGATCGGTCCCCCTTGTCCATAATTTCAGGCTCAAACTCACAGAAATGTAGCCTTAACAGGTAAAGAAACTTGGGATCTACGGGAAATTCCCAGGTCAGTTTGTAGCTCTTGTTTTGGGTGCGGTTGCTGCCCATGGACCGACCCGTTTGGTAAACTACTTGTGGAGCAGAGTACTCTGGTATTTTCGTAAAGTTGAGTTGAAGGCTAACGTTTTGTGGAAGAACAGTCCACCTGGAACTCAAATCATCCAAATACTTTTGCTCGTCTACTAAACTGTCCCAAGTGCGGTACATCCCAGTGTCTTGGTCGAAAGAGAGTGCACTTCCACCGACGTTTATTCGGTACACCATCTCCATCGCCGTGATGTTTTCGATGCGATAATTGACTTCGTTGCCTACATAATCAACTCCATGGCTATCGGATGCAGTGTAGTAAAGATTGGTGGGCATGGACACAATCTCAATCCCATTGACGAAGGCATAAGCATCTGGGATTGCTCTGCTCGGAGTGAACGTGATGGTCAAGCTCTGTCCTTCATCAATATTCAAACAGAACTCTCTTATTAGCGTCTCAGTATCACTAGCATCAGCAGTTACAGAAGCATTGAAATCATGGAGAAGGGTAAAGCCACCTGCTTTGACAGAGAAGAGGGCTTTGGACCGGTCGAAGCCGGGGTCATATGAAACTGGGTAGAAGTAGAAGCGAATAAACTTCTGCCCGATGGAGAGGGGAACTTTGTAAGAAAATTCGAAGCGAGAAAGCCTAGCTGTGGTGTAGGGCACTTGGCTAACAGAGGAGGAGGGAGGAGCTTTTCTGACTTCGGAGGAGGTGTTGGTGTTAGCTTGGTGTAATTCAGAGGGGGAAAATTTTGATTTGATATCTCCAGCCCAATCTCGCTTGTCATATATGTTGGATAAGGTTTCGGAAGAGCCGCAGTTGATAGTGATGTCTTCGACCGGAGTGTAGATAGGTGCACAGAGTAGGGTGGCAATTTGCAGAAACAGGGGAAGGAGGTAAAGAGGCAGAGGAGGGAGAAGGAGTTTCTTCATGGTTATTGTTTTGGAAAGGTGTTTGCTGCTAATTGGGTTCTTGATAATAGCAAGAGCAGTAAAAGATCAAAGGGTAATTAAGATGATGATTTAGGGGATGGTTATTGGTTTGTAAAGGTGTTTACTGCTTTCTTCTTTTGTAAAGCTTTCTTTTGCCTTTTTTTTATTTAAAAAATATATATGTAAATTATGTTCATCAACAACATAGAATAATTCAGGCATAAGCTTTCTATTGTTACAGTGCTACCATATCTTCGTCGTGTGTCGACGTGTCTGGTAGGTAGGCGTGTGGTTGTCGGTCTCCTTTTATCATTGAGATGCATGATATTTTCCAAAAAAAAGGAAATTTGTGAGAAATTGCGTGGAAATGTAAAAGAAAGTTGCTTTTGTTTTCTTTTCTGAAAAGAACAACTTGACCAAAATTTTGATCAGCTGTGCTAGTATTCTAGTTGTCGTTACATTATTGTTTGCATGCACAACTCGAGCACAAAGACTTGCTTTTTCTTTTTTCGTCAAACATCAAAGACTTGCTTTTGGGTATACTGATCCTGTAATCAAAAAAATTATCACATCCTTTTTCTTTCTCCTTTTAATCTTTTCCGTCTTTCAATGGCTGACAACAACAAAAATATAGAAAATGACACCCATCGAAAGGAATCTCCTGTCTAAAATGTTGGGCTCCCTTTCATTATGTATGGGGTTAACCGTTAAATGTTAATGCAAAGCCCAAGAGAATGAGTTTAAACTCGCAAATAATAACACAAGTTGCCTTTGCCAACAGCAGCAACTCCACCTCCACGTCCACCAACAACAACGCAGTTACGCAGCCCATCAAATCTTCTTCTTCTTCTTCTTCTTCTTCTTCTTCTTTAAGATCCCAAAAAATTAATAGTTTGGTTCGGCTTATCGTAGTCAAACATCAGTAGACACCCTCTGTGCCCGCCAAGGAGTACAAGTTCTGGATCAGATCTTCCCCAAGACTGCGGATCCAATTCATAATGTTGTTCAAACTTCTTGTTGCTGTTGATCATCGTGAATGGATCTAACCCAATAAGAAAGTTGCGGGTCATGTTAGCACCAACCCATTACAGCATTCCATTGTAAGCAAATCTACCATCACTGGAAGAAATTGAGAAAAACCAAAACTCTTCTGGAGATGGTACAATTACCTCTCTCCATTCACTGGTATCCGAAGAGAAGATCTCTGCAATGAATTCGTACCCCGATTTGTAATGAGGAAAAACTAATCTCACAACCTTGCACCTACACTCACCATTAATATTAATACTCCTCTGTCTGCCTGCTGGGAGTGAGGAGATTACTACTACCACCACTCAAGGATGAAAATATCAGCGATACATATATTATCAGGCCTTCAATTTATGGATATTTCGGGGAATAAATTGATGCCGTTTTAGGTATTGGGGAAAATCGACAAAAGAGACATCGACTTAAAAACACGGAATTTTGAAGTGAAACTTTCATAAATATTATCAGTACATTATAATGACAAAAAAAAAAAAAAAAAAAAAAAAAAAAAAAAAATCAAAATACTAACTATAAGATATGCATATGAATCTGATGAAATGTACGTGTATATAATGCGCGATGAAAACCCTGAAAATAAATACAATTAGCCAAATACAACATTATTCAAATGCAACCCAACCTAACCCAACCCGTTAACTTAATACATAACCCAACATTATATTACAAGAGTCAAACTTAATGATAAAGGAAACGAGAGATAAAAGATTAGGTGGTAAATAAATAAAATCAGAAACCGAGAAACCAGAGAAAGGAGAGGAAGGGCCAAAGATAGCCGAAATGACTAAGAAGAGAAGAAAGGAGAAGCTACTAAATATTAGAGCTTGGTTTTTGACATTGATTCAATGGCTGGGACGTATGATTACTTTCAAAACTGAAGACAAATTTATGGGTTATTTGTTTGGTATCGGAAAATATCGGTAAATATCTAGGACATCGGGGGTTATCTGAGATATATTGCCGATAAGGGAGAAGAAATAGGCTTACCCCCATGTATCTGTATCGACACCTTAAAAAAGGGATATATCGACCGATATTTTCTTCCTTGCTACTACTAACACTTTGTTTGCATCGGGGTTGGGAAGAAAGAGTAATCCATTGCCTGATGTATTTATTGCAGATGTAGTAACCACGTTGATGAAACAGAACTAGGTCATACACGTCCCTACCTACCACACATATCTCTTCTCTCTAATGAGTGGAAACTTGCGAGTCTTTTAAACACAAGAGTTAGGGGTTTGGACGACGACGATGAAAATCCGTGAAAATTCCTCTCCTTTGAAGCTTATCACATTGGACGCATAAAAAATGCTTGGAGAAATAAGCATCAGATATTAGAGTACACCAATAGGTAGCAATATTTACCAACCCTGCTTAAGTTTCCTTACAGAAGAACCTTTAAAATTCACCAACTTTGGATCTACTATTTTTCTATGCCCCCAAGTCGTTCATTGCCTTCAAATTCATTGCAGCAGAGTAAAAATTGTTCTCACATACACAAACTCTAACATCGAAAAAGTGAAACCAAAATTTACATGCAAACTAAAGTTTAAGGAATGACGGAACAAGAAGAACCAACACATTTTATTTTCATCTGGAAGGAATCAGAAAGGCATCAGTTCTTACCAAAAGACAAGTTAAACTTAAAAGAAGACCAAACTATTCGGGCAATCATATCCACATCCTAAATCCCAGAAACAAAAAAAACAAAAAACCAATATTTACAAGTTTATATCTCTCTTTATTAAATATTTTGGTGCAAAGTTCTAGACTCTAAACATACTTCTTCAAACTTCTAAGACCTCAAGTCTCAATCTCTCGAGTAAACATTTTGCTGCATAAACACTACTAAGACCTCAAGTAACACCAACAACAAGCAATTTATTACACTTGGAAACTCCACCAAATTAACCAAAGCTATAAAATGTTCAAAACCAATACAAGCTTCATTTCATCATTGGATATGAGACTGCCCGAAAAACGCCTATTTACAATTTTTACACTAAGCAAACCAAGAGTATATATAAACATCTCACACAAATTGCTCAAACCTGACCTCTGAATCGCCTGGCTCACCACTTGTAGCCCTTTCACACTTGCTCCTTTCATAATCAGGATCATCCGTGGGCAGCTCATACCGGCAAACCGGGCATGTATTTCGAATGCCCAACCAGGGCACAATGCAGTCCTGATGGTAGTAATGGCAACAGGGTAAGCTCCTGACCTTATCCTCCGACGCAATGCTGTCTTTACAAACAGCACAGACCACTTCTTCATTCTTCAACTTCTCCTTTGTGAACTTAACAAAGGGAAGATCCTCGACAACACTTGAAGCCGCCGGAGGGCTACCTTTCATGGCATTCGCATTCTCCACAAATTGCCCGAAAATCGTGTTGATGTACTCTGCAGTCTCTAAGTCAACATCATCATCATCGGCATACCTCCGGAAATTGTTGACTGTCAAGAGAATTTCCCACTCCAGGCTTCGTGTGGCTCCTTCCGGAATCTCTTCTTCTTCTTCACTAGAAAACCCAGAGGCCACTGAGAGCTCTTCAACTCCGCCATCGATCCGATTAGACTCAGAATTTTCAAACATGTTCCTCTGCTCCACCAAGAAAAGGTTGTCCCAGATTGATTGGATACCCGAATCGGTGATCCGATTACTTTCTATATCATCGATGGTACCGGAATCCGAATCAGATTCCGATTCCAACCCAACAATCCGAAGGCCACTTACGCGCGAATCATCCCCTGGTGGAATATTAAACTCGCCCAATTCAGAGACAGAGCCCTGAGAATTTGACTCTAGGCCAAACCCTAACCCCAAATTTGACCCCATTTCATCTCCACCATCAACACCCCCAATTTCCGATTCAAGCGAAAGCGGGTCCGAACCCGAACCCGAACCCGGAACGGTAACGCAGTCGTTATTGGGCCGCTCCGAGGTGCGGCGGTCGAAGAGATCGGTGACGAAGCAGCTGACGTCATGGTCCGAATCGGAGGCGGCTTCGGAGAAACAGTCGCAATCAGAGCTTCGGGAATCGGCAGGATCGGCGAAGGGGTTGCAATTGTGGTTGGTGCACCAGTGGGCGAGGGGATCAAGAGTTAGGGTTTGTGGGTCTGGTTCGTTTGGTTGTGGTTCGCGGGGTAGGTGAGTGGTGGCGCAAAGCTCAGACATAGTTTTTCAAGATTAATAATGGAAGAAATTGGAGAAATTTTTGTTTGGTGGTGGTGCTTCAGTTTATATAGTGCGGGTTTTCTTCCCTCCTTTTTTATTTTATTTTATTTTATTTTATTTTACTTTGTCTTGGCCTGCTCTGTGAAGGAATAAAAGTTTAATCAAGAGAAATGAAGGTTACCAAATTTTGCATTCCTCTCATGATAACATGCTATTATTAATGCGTGCATTATTGGAAAAATATACGAAAAACATGTTGCAGGTGTCTTCTTCGAATTATTACACATAATCTGCACCCTCCTTGGTGGTTGCATTCTCTAGTACTGGATATCATAAGTTTATCAAAATTTTAATGTTAATTTTATTCGACATATCTTCCATGAAAGTAATATGACGATCGATGCTCTTGCTACTCATGGACATACGCTTCCTCATCTTTGTGTTTGGTTTAATCATGTTCCTCATTTTGTAGCTCTTCGGATATTGTATGATAATCGATCTCTTTGAATTCCTCGAGGATCCGTCTTTGAAATTCATTTTGTGTTCCAAAAATAAAGAGGTTATCCTGATATATTATCTCAGGGAAACTTCAAACTAGTACAATATTATCCTGATAAACTACGGGCGTCTGACGGTCTCCCATGCTTCTCTTTCAGCTCAAAGAATATGTCCTTGATTGCCTCAAATACCTCTTCAGGAGACCTTTCAGCATCAATCTAGGCCAAAATCAAAGAAGAAGAAAATAAACTACTTATGGGAAAATCAAATTTTTAGGTCAAATTAGCCAAGCTAAACAACACTTAAGTCGTCTAATTGTGAAACACTCGAAATCGCTCACATATTTATTTGTCGGTTTCAGTAAACTATAGGGTAAAAGGCTTGAACTAAGACTAATATTATTCACTGGCAAAAGGCAAAGTAACCATTTCCCATGAAATGTTACAATCAGAAGCTTTGTGGAGAAGATCGTTACCTTTCGAACCTTGCCCTTGGTGCTGTAATAATTGATTACAGGAAGAGTGCATTCAAAGTAGACTTTAAGACGCTTCTGTATTGTGTTAATATTATCATCAACTCTTCCCTTTGAATCCACAGACAATATGCATGAAAAAGAGTTAGAGAAGTTAGACACATTGAAAAATTTGTAAGTTAAAGAAGAAGAAAAAGGGCAATTTGCTCACCTGGTTTCTATTTAAAAGACGTCTTTTCATCTCCTCTTCTGAGCAGTCAAGAAACAATACAAAATCTGGCTCAATTTTCATCTGTAGCAGAAGTTTTGATTGTGCACATGGAACAGACAGAACAATGACATATGAATATGTTAAAATCAGTGAAAGAATAACTTATGCTATTCACAAATAGTTTTTACATTAAGCAATGTAATCAAACTATCAAAGAATTTGATAGCTAAAACAAACAACACAGAAAACTGCAAACCTACAATGCTTTCAGCGGCAGCACGATTTTCTTCGTTCCGTGGGAAGCCATCGATGACAAATTTCTTGTTTTGGCTCCTTTGCATTGCCTGTTGCAGAAGCTTGACAACCAGATCGGAAGGAACAAGCCTTCCTTCTTTCTTACAGTCCTCAATCATTTCACTATAAAAAAATTTGTAACAATTAAAGATGTGTATAACAAGGTGCATAATAGAAGTTTCATCCAAAAAATATGTTTCCTAGATTTCCATCATATGAGAATTATAATATTTACGTCTGAGTATTAGGAAGCTGAAATCAAAATTATTGGTTTAGTATTGCACAAATGAAAGAAAGAAACTTTTGAATCGAATACCCATATTCAGATCCAGTCTCAACTTCTGCTTCAAGAAGATCACCAACACTCAGATGACAAAACCCAAAGTATGGAGCAATTTTGGCACATTGCGTACTCTTTCCGCTACCTGGACCACCTGCAAAGCACAGTTTAGGAATAACTACATCAGCAGGCACAACAATTAGAAGGTTAGCAAGTCATCTTAGATAACTACACGGGCAGGATTCTTTGTAAACATTCTAACACATCTAACATCGTCATTTCGTTTTGCATACAAAATGAGGTGAAGGTGCTCAAGCTCAAGAGAAGACTTCCAATCCATAAACTTGTATAAATTTGAGTGCAGAACTTGGACACTGCCACAGCAGCAGAATTTCTTGGTTCCTTCGGTCCAAAAACTTCTTACACACCCACTCTGGTCACCTAAGCTAATTGTTTTACAGGGAGACAAATTACCACGAATGTTGGTACAATTTCATGGAGAGCCACAAACCAAAGTTCAAATGAAATTTGTTACATGTCACTTGGATATTTTTCTGTCAAGACTCAATATCAGTCCTGGATCCCTCCACAACAAATACAAAAGTGGACAGGAAGGAAAAAACAAAATCGAAAGAGTTCATGATCAAATTCAAATTGCACCAACAAAAGTTTCACACCAGCAAAATGTAGAAGTTGCAAAATATAGTTAACTACCTAAAACATAGATAACTGTGTACCCTTTAGGGTTATCTTCACTTACATCCTGCCAATCAAAGATAAATTTCATTCAGAAAAAAGGATGAATGCAAGACATTTTCCCAGAAAAAAGTATGAGTGAAAATTAATAATACATCCAATAATACATAATAATATCTAAGAATCCAACCAAGTAAAAAAACAAGAGTTGATAGTTTGACACCAACCTTGTTTGGAGTCACAGTTGCCTCTTGTGCTGCACCATCTTTTGCCATGGTCTCCATGAAATCCTGTTCAGCATGAGCTTCTTTAGAACCAACATGCCATAATTTTAAGACCTTTCACCAGGTAGGTAAAAGCTTCATCTTTACTTCCTCCACAAAATTATTTTCTTTTATATGAAGCAAACTTTTTAATCTTAACTTCAAGTTTAAAATAAATAAATAAATAAATAATCCTAAAGAGAATAGCTTTATAGGCAGATGAGATGAGAGAAGAGAAATAGAAAAGTAAATGAAAAAGAAGTTTAAAAAAACTAATCACCTGACAGGGATTACACTGGGGGGGAAGACTGAACAGTGCAATGTTTGCTCACAGATTCACAGGTCCTTTCTCTGTGTGTGGTGGCATGGGTCAGCCACACCGACTAGAGATTTCGAGACAGTTGCAAACGCTGCGTTTTAAAACAAATAAATGATAAAGAAGGTCAAAGTTTTAATTTTGTGGAATTAATATACAAATGTAAATAAAAAGAATAATTCAATAAATAAAGAAAAATGCTTTCATGTATATGAACTTTACCCGCCAGAAATTTTGATACATAGGAAGTTCTCTTTTGTTTTGAGGGGAAATATGGTTTTGGGGTACTTCTTAAAGAATTTTTTTATTATTAAGGTTAGGAGATTCTAAACTCACTATAAAAATTTGATCAATATGCATAAAGACGATGGAAGAAGTCACTTTTGATCCATGTAGTTTGTCCGTTTTTTTACTTTAGTTCATGTAATTTAAATTTTGTCAATTTAACCATGTACACATCCAAATTTCCATCCAATTCCATATAAAATTCCGTCCAAAACACCCCTCCACATAAGAGATGTGTTTATTATATCAAGAAATTGGACGGAAATTTGGACGTATCCTTAAATTGTAATAAAATAAACTACATGGGTTAAATTACCAAAATTTAAAGTAAAGGGATGAAAGTCGAAATTTCGTCTAACTACAAGAACCAAAAAGTGATTTTTTGCCTAAAGATAAATGAAAAATTGGAAGTAGTTACTGAATTTTTTTGTGTATTATTAGCAAAGGTAATTGTAAGAACTTAATTGTCTCCAGACACTTGACCGAAGAATTGTTTTTGACAAAGAGCCTGAAACTCAAGTCATTAAGAGCAGTTATCTTTTCCAAAAGTTATGTGTGCATGTGTTCAAATCTCCCCTCCCCAACATTACTTTATATAAGAAGTTGTCTTTGAAGCTGGGTATCCAGAGACAATTCAAGGGTGTCCAGAGAATCACCCTGCATCACAAACTTTTAGAAAGATTTGACCCAATAATAAGTTGTTGGTATTAAGCCCAATTATTAGCCCATGAACTCAAAAAGGAAAGTTTGGACTAGAAAAACTCAAAAAGGAAAGTCTGCAAATGAAACAAGAAAAAACAGTCTGTTATTGGAAAAGGCTGAAAAATAAAAATTATGCTTGTTCTTCTTGTAGCTTTGCTACATTCAACAACGATCTCATTCCTGAATCCTTAAGCTCCAAAATTTTGCTACCAAAATCCACAATTTCACTACGAATTTCACAAATTCTTCTACTTTAGGGTTTGAATTGGGCGCGAAGCGAATGCGAGCGAAGGGGGTCGAAGCTAGCTGGTAGCGTAGAGAGAAACAATGAAGGCAGGAAGCGCCGCGAAGCTTATCGTGGACGCCCTGCTCCAGCGGTTCCTTCCACTCGCACGGCGTCGTATTGAGACTGCTCAAGCTCAGGTCCGTTGTGTGATTCAAATCCATTTGAATTCCTGCAATTTTCACCTATTTGGTTGTATTTGGATTTTCAGCTCTCTGTCTGTGTATCTATTAGCTCTACCTCTGGCTTTTCTTTATAAAGAAATGAACACTCTAATTTCATCGTTGATAAAGATCTTTGTTCTACTTGTTTTGATACTTCTTCATCTTTATTTCCATTGTTTCCAGCATGCCTTGTTATAGTTCTTAGTTGGCTCAAGGAACTTGGTAGAGTTACTTAGAGTGGTCATTGATTCTTTGTAATCTTCGTATGACCGCAGCAAGATATGATTTCATAGCATTAGTCGAGGAAAGAGTAATAGCCATAATGAAAAAGTTGAAAATAGTTGGAAGTGGTCGTCCTAGATTCCTAATTCCTTTTGAGGTCCCCTTATTTGTGTAGAACTGGTACCAACATTGTAATTTTTTACCGTGCGTTGTCGATATATTTCACCCAATGAGTCAATGCCTTTTGCCGTTAGTGAATGTTTGTATTGCTATGGTGGGTTTGGAATTAATCTAATATGTGATGTTTGTCTTCATTTTGTTATGTGGGAAACTTGCAGGATGGGCAATATCTCCGACCTTCTGACCCTGCTTACGAGCAAGTACTGGATTCCTTGGCTATGGTAGCTCGACATACACCCATACCTCTTTTAGAAGCTCTTCTAAGATGGAGAGAAAGGTGGGTTTCTCCCTTTTCCACAGATATGTTTTTCTGTGTTCCTCCTAGTTATTTTGGACTTGATGCCTCCCAGGTTTATTGTAACCTCTTGTTTACAATGACTTTGGTATAGCTATAATATGTCAACGCATTGTTGTTGATCTGAGTTATTAATTGTTTTCTGTCTAGTCATATCATTTTGTAACATGGGAATCTTTTTGTTGCAGTGAATCCCCGAAAGGTGCAAATGATGCATCTACATTCCAAAGAAAGGTTTGTCAAAAGCTTGTTTCTTTGACCAGATGTGTTTGTTCTTTATTGTATATGGTGGAAGTCAAGAAAGTTTGGCCTATAACATCAATGCCATTCATAGCTCTTTATTGCATAGTATCGCAACCAAGAATATCAAATTTTATGAGTTTTTCATTTTTTCAATGTATGTCAATGTATACTTATATTATATATTTGTATCTGTGATTGGGGAGTCTGCTTCATTAACTATAACTTTCATAATATGTTTGCTGAAGCTCAGCTTGCGGTGGAGTGCATTTTTTGTTCAGCATGCATTCGTTTTGTCGAGTGCTGTCCACAAGAAGGACTTACAGGTTAGTTCATTGCATCGGTATTTGATTTTACCTTGAGGCTTGTGAAGTTGTGCTATTCAGCGAAATAAAACAAGCTTTGTTCTTACTGCAGAGAAACTTTGGTCTGGGCTTGAAAATTTTGTGTTTGACTGGCTGATTAATGCTGACAGGTAAAGCTATAGTTGGTTGTAGGAACTTCTTGGATATATGTTGTGTGAATGTCTGATTTTTTAAACTCAGAGCTTCGTACACCAACATTGTTAGTTTTTCCTTACGGAGTCAACTAAGTTCTACCCCTTTGATGTTAATCTTGAGCAACTACTGTCCTATATCCTTCATTGCATTGATGCTTTCTCATTTGTCTTCCTTGTATCTGTCATACTTTTCCATAAATCTGCTATATGCATGGAGTATTTTTTGTTAACCTTTTCTCTTTTAATCAGGAAAGAAAAAAAGATGTGGGTCTTGCTGAAGTTTGCATTTTGCCTCGCTATTCACTTCGATGTTGGTTCTGATACTTTGTTACACAGACTGATAATAAAATTTAAGTACCAGGATAATTATTGGATCTAAGCATTTAGACTTTCATGCCCTGGGTGTGAAAGAAAACAAAGAGGAATGATTAACTGGGTAATACTGGTTGTTCTGTATATTAGTTGGAAGAGTTTTAGCATAATCAAGAATAATGCCTTAGGGACGATAGGATTGTAGAACACTGCTAGAGCTATTTACTAGTGATCTAAGTCTGAAAGCTGAACTTCCCCATCAACAGCCCTATTCCCTGCGGTTGTATGCAATGTAGAAGAGCCAAAGATGCAAGGACTAGAACACATATCTCAAAACTTGATATAACACATTAAAAGTTTTCTTTCTTCATTTGCTCATGTAAGTCATCTTGGTTGCAACTCACTATACTCTCATTGCAGGGTTGTTAGCCAGGTTGAATATCCCTCATTGGTTGATCTGCGAGGACTTCTTCTGGACTTAGTCGCTCAGCTCTTAGGGGCCTTATCTCGCATCAGGTGACTGAATATCAAGTTATCATATTTGGAATTGATGGAAATTGCTATCATTATCCTCAAACTCCCTTGCGCACTCAAACCCCCCTTCTCTCCAGCAAGAAGAAGAAAAGAATTGCAAAACATTAAAAACTATTTGGTCATTATCAAAGTGGATTTGAAATCTATTATTTGTTGATTTTATAACTTTTAATAATTTGTGATATGTGTGATTTAGGCTTTGTAGTTGATAATAACAGTAGGTTTTGATAGTTGGTTTTCATCTTTGTCATCTATCATTGGTGAAGTTGGGTGTAAGTTAACTCATTGATGCATGTCATTTTAAAGAATCTGGCATCATTATTACATTTACCTGTCGAATATGATTAACTGTCTAAGTTTAGTTAATGTATTTTATATGGTGCGCAGGTTTAGTTCTGTCACTGAGCGCTTTTTCATGGAGCTCAGTATTCGTCGGATCGACACTAGTGTTGCCAGAAGTGAAACCCTTAGTATCATTAATGGAATGCGCTACTTGAAACTTGGGGTATGTGGAAAATAACATTCATGTAGGAAAAATGACATTAGGACAACTCTATAACTATTAAGTAATTGCCAGGTAAAAACTGAGGGTGGACTGAATGCATCTGCTTCCTTTGTGGCAAAAGCAAACCCCCTCAATCGTGCACCACATAAACGCAAAAGTGAGCTTCATCATGCACTATGCAATATGCTTTCAAATATCCTAGCACCTTTGGCAGATGGTGGAAAAAGCCAGTGGCCACCTGCAGGTGTAGAGCCTGCACTTACACTCTGGTATGAAGCTGTTGGGCGGATTAAAGGACAACTCATGCATTGGATGGAAAAACAGAGCAAACATATTTCTGTGAGTTGACCCCAACTCTTTTACGTCTTGGTTTTTCCAATATATAAATTGTGCAAAATAATATTCATAATACTTTGACATAACATTCAGAAAGTTCCCCCTTTGTACTTTTCTGTTGCCTCCAATTTAATTATGTTATACAATT